CGGCAGATAGACGACCCCTCGCAGACCCCACGAACCCAACAGAACATGCAAACCCACAAAACCCTGCTACCCCACAGACCCCACAAACGCAATAACAGAACGCAGCGCACAAACATCGCATCACAGTGGCCATGCAATCCAAGCCAGCCGAGAGGGGGGGGGGGGCTCCCAAAATGTTCGGAACATTTTGGGAAGGGGGGGGGGCTCCCAAAATGTTCAGAACATTTAAAGCCCCTGGCTTTTCCAATTTGCTTTAAATGTTCGGAACATTTAGAGCCGCCCCCACGGCCCGGAAGAAGACAACAGGACTAACGGCCGAAAGGCTAGGCCGCGCGAACCGCCAGGACCGCAAGTGACGCCGGCGTTTTATTGAAGTATATATATATATATACATAACCCAAAGAAAATACCTTCAAAATAAATCCAAAGAAAATAGTTTCAAAATAAATTCTAAATCAATATATTCTTTGCCAATGCGAAACAGAAGAAAAAATGCTTTCAATTGGTGAAGGTTGGTGAAATAGACATATCGACAAAAGATATTTCGAAATCTTCTCGTCTTCGAGCAGACCGAACATAATTGTCACTATACGGCTGGGCATGCACTGGCGCTGCGCGGCAGGTGCAAAATCCCGCCGTGGAAAATTATGTGAAACCTTCGTCGATTGCAGGGAGGATCGCACGCCTGTATCTAGAGCTCTGGAGCTCACGTTACTTTGCTCGACTCACACAAATCCCGCACTTGTCTGGCCTTAGCTCCACTGAGAAAGGTAAGTGCCTGCATCGGCAGCAGCACCGACTTCTTTCTACTTTGCCCAAGTGTCCTGGTAGCAGTTGGACGTGTCACACGCCAGCCAGTGGCAATCAATGCCTAATGACAGGAACAATCCAAACCAAGGCGAAGATTCAACATGTTGCATTCCCCACGTGATGCAGTAGCGCACCCTTTCGTCAGCCAGCCACTGTACTCGCATACCACAAATTGGACAAACCTGATAATCAAGACGCTCTTCCGTATCAAGCTGTCGAGTGATGCAGCAGACTCCAGTGAACCAAGAGCCACACAGAGCGTTCGCTCCAAGCAACCTTCTCCTGCTCAGCCCCCAAGCTGACGCGTGTTACATGAACATGAGTTGGCGATCTGGGGCGAGGGCTGCGCACTTTCTGCAGACCAAACATCTGGCAAAGGCAACAGCTAGAAAGAAGACTTTACGTTAACGTCCCTACACCGCGCGAACATCGGCCTGCAAGGCTGCAGCCGATGGTCTGCTTTAGCCTCCACGTACTCCGCTTCTGCTGTGCCCTGCATCAGTGCTCATTCCCCCACCGCACTAACCAGAGCACGGAACGGTGGTCTGACCTTTTCTCTGCCGCCTCTGGCAGTGCCAGTGGTGCCACTTTAAAGCGAGCCCCACTGTCGCCGGCTAAAGACAGTTGCACTGCAGAAAGCAATGCATTGAAATGGCTCGGTGTGGGCAACTGACCTGGCAAAAGAAGCTGACTGACACAATGCGGCCTATATATTTCCAACCGAATCACCGAGCAAGGTTTACGGTTTGACCCGACTGCATTTCCTACAATGCATAATTTCCGCAGACCAAGGCACCGTCTCCACGGAGTGTGCAAGCCACACGGCTCTTGACGGCAGCACGAAGTGCCCGCAAAGCCAAATGAACAACCTGCGGCTTGCAAAAGTGCCAGCATCATTGGCCCGCAGATGCTTGGCTTTGTCGTGTGTGGGCGAGCACTATTCACAACGGCGTCACCTCAAACTCTTTTCGCGCCAGAAGCTCTTCAAACGCATAGACCTTGCCAGGCGCAATCCGGCTTGGCATTCTGCACAGCTGCTGGAACCACTGAAATACCCGGCAAAACAAAGATCTCGACGTCATTGTCGCTTTGTTGCGGCCAAGCAGCATGCACGTCGAGACTGGCAGCGACACCAGGAGTGTGGCCGGCCCGAGGGTGACAGACTTTGTGCCACTCACTGACTGATCCTCTCTGCAGGCCTGCCAGCGAGGAGAAAGCCTCCACTCTCTGTCAGCTGCTTCTCACGGCTGCAAAAGATGATGCCACCTTGTACCCGATGGCAGATTGCCCGCCAATGATCGATGAGCTGCTGTGCACTGACCTCGACGGCTGGATCAACCAGCAAGCTCAGTCAAGTGGGAAATCCGACGGTACGACACTTGATTGCAAAAGAACGCTAGCATCCTTCTACGTATGCTCACGCGCCCACCCCCACCCCTCCACCAAACATCATCACAGCTGCCCTCACATTGTAGCCACGTGGGTCTTTTGGAATCCAACATTCACAAGAGAAAGCACCGAAGCATCTCTGTTCTGCTGTCGTCTACTAGCACGGAACAGCAAACTTGGCAATCGAACGGAACAGAAACCGGTTTGATGAAACTGAAATGGCTTTGACTCTCGGCGTAGCGAGAGCCACAGAATTCAATTTTGTACGACAGACCGGCACTCAACATGATCTGAAGACCAGGTGCTTAGATACGTTTCAATTGCCGCGACCCCTGTCCTGCAAATCACCAAGTCTCACTCAGGCTTACGAGCGCCTGTTTTCTTGATGGGCTGAGCCGCATCCGGTGCCCACACGGGCAGAACTTTCCAGCGAGGTCGGCGGTTGGTGGTGGGGCGAACCTGGGCGAACATAGATTGCCAAGTGGGAGCAGCAATACTTACGGTCTTCGCAGCTGTCCAAGTCCGTCGAGTCGGGCAGCAGTGGGTCCGGAGAGCATGCCCGCGCAGCCTCGGCATCAGGCGTCACGTCTGGCAATAGTGCGTAGAAGGATGTAGTATGAGCGAAATGGTAAATAGTGATAGTGGTGACTCTGGGCTCCGAGGGCCTAAACCGACAGTTCACACGGGCGAGACGTGTCAGGAAAAGCAAAAGAGCTGGACTAGATCTAAGCTGAATAGCTCGAATCATCGCAGCAATACTACGGTTTGCCCATTGAGAGCGTCAGCCAGTTGGACGATATCACTTTGCGCAAAGAAGTGCATGGATTTCAAACCCATACAGGTGGCTTTCTTACGGATCGGCAGTTTCCGGCTTCGACAAAAAAAGAGAAACTAATTGAAAATGCGGCTTGACAGCTGGTGCTGGCCATCTCGGCCATCTCGGGTCGCAAAGCCAAAGGCACAGTGGGCTGATTGGCCGCGGAACTGCATGTCGTCTCCCTGCCATCAGGGCCGGTCAAGTCTTGACCTCCTCCATCTGGCTTGCTTGGCTTCGCAAGTGCCGGCTCTTGGCGTCCAGAAGCTTGCCCATGCTGAAAATGCAGTTGGATACCCACGTGACAAAGAGCTCGGTAGCCGGCATCGGGATCTATGTGAACTTTGCCATGTGCAGTCTCGGCGGTGAGGCCAGTGCTGAGGCCCAAAGCCGCCACGGCACGATGCGCCAGCGAGGTCAGGGTAGTCAGCAGAGCTTCTTGACCGCCGTGGCCCTCGGTGCCTGCCATGCCTGGAATTAGAATTGCTTCCAGCAGCTACGGCACTCTGCGTGGCACCCCGATACAGCGAAAGCCCCGGATAGATGATTGGAACTGACAACACATGACAACACAAAAGGCTGCATACAGGCATTGCCGACACGTGTTTTGACCCTTTCTAGGAGCCAGAAACCAGTTCCCTGGCATTCGGTGGCAACAGCCATTAAGTCAATTTCTGACAGTTGCTCAGTTAGACTAAGACCAGCGTCCAGCTTGGTCCTGCTGACTCAAAGAGGTTGGGAGGTGCTGGAAAATCGGATGAGGCAATTCGCAGAACCGAAATAGGTCCTCCGTTTCAAATCTCAAAAGCAGGCCGAGTACCACTCCACTCCGCCTGCCGTTGTCCCAAAGTGATCTTCAGTCCTACAGCTGCCGCGCAACGACCTTGCTCGCCTCAACTGAACTCCAGCCCCACGAGTGTCAGTTGCAGCAGCGCTAAACAGCCCCCTCCCCTGCGAACGAGCATCTCAGCTGGTGAGCAGCGCCGGCTGCAAGATCGGACAGAACTTCGAGCAGCTCATTGAATCCAGCCAACCCCTCCGTGCAAGAAGTGTTCACCTGGAGCATCCTACAACATCGTCCGACTCCACACCCTCATCAAAACCATCTTGCTTGTCTGCATCACTGCACCGATTGCACACAGATTTCGGGGTGGCACGAAACCTCGGGGCCCTATTGTAGTACTTGAGCTGCAACTGAAACCGAGGTAACTCATTTTAAGGATGGAACCTTGGTAGATTCCACCTGGTTCCGTGGCTCCGATGCACAGCCGTGAGTGATGTCTGACATACTGTCAGCTATCAGTTGCTATCACGATACTAGCACCTGCAGGCTGCTGCGGCCGTGTCACCTCGAAAGCGAGTGCAGACGTCGCGAAATTTTGCTGGATCCGCTGAGGTGTCTGGCCTCAGAGTGCATCAACAGCTCAGGGCCAGTGTGCCGGGCAATGCTTGTGGCAGCCGAAGCGGCTAAGATGTTCTGAATCCACCGAGACTATGGATTTCCGTCTCTTCTTGGCTGGGGCTGACGGATCCTCGCCTTCTTCCACCTGTTTGCTGTGTGCCGGGCGTTCACTATGTTCTGTCTGCATGCAAGCTCGATGTTGCCACGCCTGCTCAGCCGAGCATGGCTGTGTCTCCTCGCAGGTGAGATCCAGCGACCTCGAATGCGACGGCATGAGCTTCTGCACTAGACTATGCTCAAGCTACCAAGCAGCTGTGGCCGAACTTGTGGGTTCATAGATGCACATTGAAAGCGAGGGGCTGCTTCTGCGCCACATCATCCACATCTCCTAACCGAAACTCACGTGTTCCCTGGCTGCGCTCTGTGCCTCTGAGTCTACCTACAATCTTTTGAGCTCCTCGATGGGAAGATGCAGATGCATCCGCATCCTCGGGTCCTCCCAACCACAGAGTGGTGGAACAGAGAGCATGCAGCGTACACAGAAGAAACCCAATGTGACAAAACCGGAGGAGCTGCCTTCGGCTGGCGTGGGTTTCCTAAGATTGTGCAGCTTGCTTGACAGAGGCAGAGCGCGTTCCGGCCACTGATTGCAGCGAACGGTCCACAGATGCAGAGATGAACTCACCAAGCTGTCGCTCCAACTACCTGCACCTGTTTCCACGCTTTCGCCACGGTCAGCGCTCCCGGGAGCATGGAGACCGTGATCGTGCATCGTCTTTCCCACTCCGACTCTTGCATACCTGAACAGCCTCCAGAGCTGAAAGGTGCCGGTCCACAATCTGGATATATTGCAAAGATGCATCAACATTTCGGTACACAAATCCTACATTGGGATTGTGGCCTCTAGCCCTGAAGCGTTCCGGCGAAGCATCGCGGAAAAAACAACTGATGACCATGCGCGCATAATCGAGAAAGGACAAGGTGTAATAATGCCAAGCCGTCTCGAAGGAAAATGCCTGTGCAGCTGCGACAGCACCACGCTGCTCCAGAAAATCGGTTAGTAGGGAATGATACACACGCACCAAGTCCTCCTCGTGTGCAAGCACAGACTCCGTCTCGACAGAATGCGACAGATGCATGGCGACGTCCGCCATCCCAAATCCAACACCTGTCCACTGAAAGTCGATCAGCAGCGGCTGGACATCCTCATTCACTGGCAGGAAGAGGTTCATTGCCTTGTAGTCGCCATGCACCAGCGTAGCGAAGTTGTCATGTGGAGAAGCTTCGAGTTGAGAGGCTACCCACGGAGCCACGCTCTCGAGCCGCCGTGCAAGGTCTCGGATGCTCGGCTTCTTGAGCAAGTCTGTAGCATACGGAGCGAAAGCTTCCATGTACGAGGTCCAGACTGGTTGCAACTGCCGCAGCTCATCCTCGCCACGGCGCGACAGTGCCCAGTAGCAACCTTGTGGGTGCAGCACTTGTGATGCACGCTGCAGCAAGCCGCGATCTTCCCACGCAGCCGCATGGAAGCTTGCCAACAGCTTGAGGCTTTGGTTGACCTGCCGTCCAGTGAGAGGAGATTGCTGTCCGTATGCTGCTTGGTCCACACACTCTAGCAATAACATCATCTTGCCCTGACGCAGGATGTCCTCAGCCTCACTACCCCCAGCACGGTCCAAGCAATCCAACTGCTCCTCCACAAGTGGTGCACGCAGCAGAGGAACACCCCTCTGCAAAAGCTGTGACGAAAAGTTCTTGTACCACCTCGCTTCGTTTCGGTTGGATTCCAAATCTCGGCGCAGTGCGTGCACGGTCTTGGCTGGCATGTGCTGCGCATCAACCTTCTTCAAGAAGAGCTTGGCCGCTGCAGCTGCTTCTGGCCCCGATTCATCAAGGGTCAGCAGCAGCTCTACTGAATGCGACTGTGGCCACAGTTTTTGCGTCGCATTGTCGAAGTCTACCGAAGCAACTTTGCTCGAGTGAAGAGGCTGCTGCCCTGATTCCTCGGCCTTCTTCAGAACGGAGGACAACCACTCTGCTGACAGGTCCTGGCCATCTAGTCTGGTCAGCAATGGGGACGTTCCAGCAGTGGCCAAGCAGCGAGACATGCTCACGATCTGAAAAAACCGTCTTGTGAACATCGAAGACATGCTTGAGCCGAGTTCTGGCTGGTGGGTGTCGCGCTTCAGCAGGTGAGGACACGTTCTCGCAGTCTTAATCCACTTGCGGCCTGAGCCTCCGAGCATCCGGCTGGTCCAAAAAGGACAGCATCGACGATCCAGACGACAAGCATTTCGGCATGAAGCCTGGAGCCGCGGGGGATCATGGCAGGTTCCAACGGCAGAAATTGAAGAAATCTCTTGCCCACCTCGCGCCTGTACAGCCTCCTACCTAAAGCGATTCCTGCTTTTTGCTGTCACCTACCAAATTAAGCAGCAATTGCTTTGAGTCTCCCCTTGCAACTTCTGATCAAGATGAGCCTCAGCTCTCCGTCTACGCAGGCAAGTAGCGCATCTCCGGAAGGCCTCGACAAATACGGACAAGGCTGCAGTGTTGACAGGCAGGTGCGCCTAGCGCACTTCTTTAACCTTGATGTCTCGGTTCAGTCGAGTGTCGCCGCCCTTCTTGAACACATGCCGTCACCCAGGAAGATGTGACCACGTTGACACGCTTCGACCGCTTCTTTAGCTCTGCCCAGGTCTGATTTCCAGATGCGAGATTGTCAGCGATGATGTGCGTGACATGTGTGAAGCCATACTGTTCGTACACACCTGGGCCAGTACATGCGGTCCGAACTTCCACTCCACGGATGCACTTTCAGCTGCATGCTTTCGCACTGAAGTTCCGAGCTGCCGCCGTGTTCCACGATGATGCGCTTCAGTTCTTGGTCTGGCAAGCATGTCCGGCCGGTCATCCAGAAGCTGAGACCCCGAAAGATGCTCGCTTTTCCTGTCTCACCTGTGGCATCTCCATGCATTACCAACATGCACACATCGAAGGCCAGGACTTGCAACGAAAATCGCCCAGCTGCCTGAAGTTGCAGCAGCTGCTGCGAACTGCTCCTTGAGCTTTCTGTTCTTTTCCACCATGTAGTCCTGAGGCGGGAGAGTTGGACTGAAAAGCAGCCGGCAGCCACTGCCCGCTCACCATGTGGTAATACCTGGTATGGACACTGCAGCCCAAGTTTCCCCGAATGATGCCTCGGTCGGCGTTTTGCAGGTCAAATTCTTATGCTCCAGCTTCGGCATACTGCCGGGCTAAGAAGACTTCCGGAAAGTGGTTTTGAACATGCGTCGGACTTCTGCCGAGTCGCATAGCCACCCCCACCGAAGAAGCCAGACTGAGGCACGACATCGCCGTCCTTGTCGTCCGTGCCATTGCTGCCTCCTTTGCTGCCGCCTTTGCCGCCCTTACTCCTTCCCCATCCCATGGCGAGGCACTGAGCCTAAAAGCTTCGGTGCAGGACATCTGGACGTGCTGCGCTCACAAGCCAAGCACTTAGTTGAGAGACGGTCTAGGAGTTTAGGTCCTGTGTCATGATGACCCTTCCGGGCTTCTCTTTGCAGGCTTCGCACTTTCGACCTGTCAGGAAGCTGGGAGACGGAACTGGAACCACTCTCGAACAACACCTATGCTTGCCTTCTCTGATGCTGCTGATCGATGCGGGAGCCACGGTGGCACCCTGAACACTTGCTGGAGCTGAAGCTGATGTTGAAAGTGCAATGTGGCTTGCCGCATAGTTTAAATTTCCACATGCACGCACGGCGCCTTGCATAAACCATTGCTCTCCATGATGGCATAGCAATGACCACCTGCTGCTCATGCTCGGTTGACAACTCAAGGACGAAGTCGTAGGGCGTTGCTGAGAATCAGGCAAACAGGCAGACAGTCTACAGAAGACCTGGCGCGACATGTCTAGCCCAGAATGATTTTCTTGCAATCAACACATCTCAGAACTCTACGTCGCCCAAAGCTTCCACAAATTTGCTCCATCTGAACCTTCGGCAGTGCAAGCAACGCTTCTCATTGTCATCACATGGATTGAAACAAGAGTGCCTGCATCAGTGCACACGACGCAAAGGCGAGTAGCGTCCTGCGTCACCTGCACTCAGCCAGCGAGGAATCCAGACGTCTCTTCCAGGGCCAGGAGGCACAGCGCGACTCCTTGAGGCCACTGGTGGACAGGCTGCTGTGTGCCTGAGAGTGCCGTACAGCGCTGCCCAAGCTGCCGCTGTGGTGCAAAGCGTTGGAAACTTAAGCTGCACACTGAGACAGCCTTTTTTAACGCCTGAGCACTCATCCTAAATGCTCCATCTAGTGGAACACCTTCCCTAGCTGCCTGTGAACCGATACTGCCTTGTTGATGGAACGATTGGCAAGCTACAGGAGACACGACAAGACAGCTGCGGGACTTTCGTTGTCCTGCAAGGACTGTGAGATTAACTGCCACAACGTCTGTGTGCGTCTGGGGGCGAGCTCATTGGACCCCGCATGAAGAATAATTGACTGGCACGATGGCCTCAGGCATCCCTTGCTGCCGTCGCTATCGTCTGCGAGGGCTGCGGCTCCGATTGCGGCCTGACTTCTTGTCGCCATGGGTCCAGCACTCGCCCTTGGCGCACCACTTGCAGCCACCTTTGGAGGAGCCTTTTCCACCACCTCCTCGGTAGGGCCTCCCACCACCGCCACCACCTCGCCCCGCGAAGCTCCGAAGCTCGTCGCTGATGTGCTGATTTGTGCTCTCCATAGCCTTCGCAGGAAAGCACAGATTATGAGTTACCCCCGCATACCGCCGCCACGTGCACCCTGCATAGCGCCTAAGACCTAGACGCAAGACAAGCCCACTAGTCACTAGCGGTTCGGCTAACACCCTATGCGGGACTGAGCTCAGCCCGCCCGGGCCCCTCATTCCCACCTGGATGATGCCAGAGGCTTTGCCCCTGTCCTCCGAGGAAAGCAACGTGATGGCGTAGCCTTTCTTTCCAGCTCGCCCAGTCCGCCCAATCCGGTGGATGTAGTCCTCCGAGTTGTTTGCCTGGGCACGGGTGCTTGGAATCCGAGCTGATTTGGCCTCGAAACGAGCGATGGGGGTGTTGGGCTGTACTGCACTGCCCCCCTGGCTACTCCATGGAGTGCTTGACGAAAGCTTCTTGGATCTACCGGCCGCAACGCTTCCGATATCTCACTCAGCCACGCATGTCCGCATGCATCCACGTTGCCGCATCATAGTTGACCACCAGGCCTTCAGCTTTGCACGACTCACAGCAGTTTTGGGGCTTCACCATCTCAATTCCTTGCCACATGCAGCCGTGAAGCCAACTCCCTTGATGTCAAGGCCGCGAGCTGCTACATCCGTAGCAACCAAGGCTCGAAGACGTCCCTGTTTCAGGCCATTCAATGCCATGTCGCGTTCCCGTTGGTCCTCCATGTTCCCAGGGCAACAGAGGCAGTCAAAGACACTCACAGAGGTTCTCTCGGCGGCCCTTGCAGGCACAAGTCCTTGTCTCCATGGATCGCAGAGCAGGCTACATTACAGGCGTACAGCTGCCGCGACAGCTCCTCACACATCCTCTTCGTGCTCGCGAAGATCAAGCACTTTCCAATGGCACCTCCGCCGCATGGCCAAGACCAGTTTTACAGACTACCCTACATCACAGGATGCTCAACTTTCCACAGCACGGCTTGCGCTTAGAACCCCTGTCATGCTCGCGCCTTTGTCCATCAATCCTGCTTCCTGCAGCAACTCCAGGACAGCAGCTTTCTTTTGCGAACTCTCAACAAGTCGAACTTGTTGAGTGACATCCTGCATCAAGGCGTACTCTGGAATTTGCTTGAGCGATGCCATGACAGATAACCCAAAGCAGCACCTGATTCGCTTTCAGCTCATCACGGTTTCCGATCATGACTTTGGCTGGCTGCCCCATCATAGTAGCAGCAAGCTGCCGGACCTGCGGCATGCATGACACCGAAGACATGATAAGAAAGCAACACACACCCTCACGCATTGCTACCGACCCTGGCACCTCCCGTGGCCAGGTTGCAGTGAAGAACATTGTGTGTCGACTTCTGGGAATGTGCTGAAGAATTTTTTGGATTTGTGGCTCGAAGCCCATGTCCAGCATTCTGTCAGCTTCATCCAGCACCTCGTGGCAGGTGCTTGAGCTTCAGATGGGCTTCTCCAAGCTCAAGTCCAAACGGCTCTCCTTTGGAAAAGCTCGATATCCCCATCCAAGCGACCAGTTTTCGCACTCGGTTAACCTCATGAAACGCAACACGTGAGCAGAGGCCTGACAGTCAGTCGTGCATGCAAACAGCCTCACGACGATGGAAAATCAACCGCTTGTATGCCGAAGAGCCTGCACCTGTCGCCCCTCAATGAAATCATTGAGGCGCCCCGGGCATGCAATGATGGCGTGGACTCCCTGCTGATACTTCTTCAGTTGATCCCATTTCGGCGCACCTCCATACATCGCAACCTGCAGAAAGCAACTCGATCCTGTAGCAAGTTTGCAAACTATGTAAGCGTTGCTTGTGTCTCGCTTGTGAATATCAAAGATGCAGGACTGGGAGCTGTCCACATCCCAAGACACTTGCCGAAGCGATTGGCCTCGACCTGTATCTGTGCGTTCTTCGCAACTTCAGCTGGCAACAACTTCCAAAGCTCTTTGCGGCCAGAAAGCTTCGATCTGCTGTGCAAGCTCTCGGGTCGGCGACATTACCACGAGTCCAACCCCATCTCGCTGCGGTTGCAAGCCTACCAAGTCCCGAACAGGCAAGGCCAAGTTATCAGGATCTAAGCCAGACAGGTGAAGTCACTCTGAAACTAGCTAGGTTCCCTGCAGCCCAAGCCTGACTTGTGGAAGTCACCTTGGTAAGCCGGCAAGAAGACCCCTCCGTTCGGAGATTCATCGTGAACATTCCTAGATGTCAAGAGAGTGAAATGTGGGCGGAAAACATGTAACAAGTGCGCCTACGGCATGCGCGACTGATCTATTGCCGCCACGGCTGCTAAAAGCCGGCAGCAGGAAAGCCAGCGTCTTTCCGCTGCCAGTTGCTGCAATGCCAATTACATCCTGACGGGCTCACTGCTCCCCTGAGGCCCTGTTGCGGGCAAGTCTTTGCGGTAAAGGCAGCGTCCTTGCCATACAACGCCAATGGCCAAGTGAAGGCCTGAATCTGAGACGGCGCGGGGAAGGACTTCTTCAGCTCGTCTATCAGCTTCTGGGGGAAAAGCTGTGCCTTGGACACATGGACATATGTTCAACGCCTGGCGCATGTCGCAACATAAGCACGGAAAAAAGCAGAGGGCCATCAGCGAATGCAGCCTAGAAGCACATTGGTCAAAGGACCAGAACTTGTGCAAAGGAAGAGGGCCTGCACTTCCATCAAATACTCCCGGCAGAGGCAAAAAAAAGCATTAACTTACAGAAACAACTATCTGCCGAGAAGGCTCGCTCATCATAGTCAATGACTCTGACATCTGTGTCCTGTCAGGGCCACAGCAACAAAATCCTGATCTGAGTGGCGATACTGTCTTGACAAGACCACACCTGAGGACCAGCACGAGGCTTTCACAGAGACAGCGCGAGCACCAGGACAAGTACACAACGGGCAGGCCTGAACAGTCTCGCCTGCAGAACCGCTGGCAGCTTCAAGACATGCTTCCGCAATGGACATCGTGCCTTGCGCAGGCACAACAAGGACTGGTGCATGCACGACAACTCACTGTGGCCGCAAACGGCATATAAAAACCTAGTCTCAAATCGAATCACAAGAGCCAAAACGCCCAGATGTTGCAGTTCCAAGGGTGGTTTGCTCGGTCTCCAGTGTCAAGTGCACCCGAATACACCCTAGCTGACTCTGCCGGCACTGCCTCTGTAACTCGTAACATGCTACTGTTGAAGCGATAGACTTGCTTCACGCCGGCACACATGGCGATTCCAAAAATGTTTCCTGACATATGTTTGTCGCTTCGGAGCGAAGCCCTTCGAGGAATTTGAATCCACGCATTGTCATTACATCAATGCATATGCAAAGCACCGCAAGCCAAAAGCGATACAGAAAGAATCAACAGGTACCGTGTTCTCTCCGAGAAACGCCCTGGCGAAGATTGGCATGGCCTGGGCATCGCATGCTGGTTGGACAAGGTCCAAAAACGTCACTGCCCAAAGTCTGATGGTTCTGATGTCCAAGGTCCAAGGTTCCACCCACCGCCGTTCGGGGCCGGTGCGGCTGCAGGCGCTTGTCCCGGCCATTGAGGATACGCGGCCACCGGTCCTGGTGCCACCGGCCCTGGTGCCACCGGCTGACCGGGCTGCGGATGCTGTGGGTAGGAAGGGTACTGCGGTGGATACTGAGGCTGCTGATAGTGCTGGGGCGGTGGATACTGCGGCTGAGGATATGGTGGGTACTGCTGCGGCTGCATGTGCGGCTGCATCTGCTGCTGCATCTGCGGGTGCATGTGGGGCTGCATGTGTGGCTGCATGTGTGCCTGCATCGGTGGTGGTTGCATCTGTGGCTGTGGCTGTGTCTGTGTTTGGTACTGCGGTGGTGGCTGCTGCTCGGCGGGTTGCGGTTGGGCCGCTTGGGGCGGATATTGGCAGCCGTTCCAGGCCGCACTTGGGTCTTGAGTAGGTGGATTCCAGCTGGCGGGAGGTGCAAAACCGTTTTGACTCCAGCCGGCAGGAGGCGCCTGAAGCAAAACGAAAAGCTCCGAGAAGCTTTGCGGTTGCTCGCAGTTACTACTGATGTCAGAATCAATCCGCCGGAGGAGGGCCTGCGCTTCACCGACTTGCACTCCGGCACACGGGGCACAGGGGTTCATCGCAGCCTCAGATCTCGATGCCTCGCTGTCAAAGCTTCCTCTGCCACAGCTAGGCCCGGTGCAGCCTGTGCAGGGTCCATTTGAGAAAAATGGGATCGGCGACTTTTCACACCATCCTGGCGGCGAACATCAGAGCAGGTCCTCTCAATGATATGCACAGCACGCTGGGCAAAGTCCCCGTCGTCAGCCTCTCTGGTTCGGAGCCAGCTCTTGTGGGCAATACGTCACTGGCTCGAGCCAGGTGAACAAAAGGTGACAGCCAAACAACAACCCAGCGAGCAAGGACTGTTGATGAATGTGGTGAATACAAATGACTGCTGATGAAGAAGGCACCCAGGAGCCGACTTTCAAAACCCAGGGTGTGCCCACCTTTGGAGAAACGCCCTGGCTCGGAAAGCGACAGAACTTCTAGGCCCTGTGCAGCTGCATACTGCAGCTCCTGCAAGTCTTGCCTCAAGGCACTTCTCAACCTTGTACTCTTCTACCTGGCGCTGGGGAAATGCATGTTCTAAGCCTTCTGAGCACTGCAACCGTGGACCAAGGCCTGTTCAAGCACAGAGGCCGTGAGCACCCCGTGGTCCCAAACCTAGAGCATGTAGTTGTCTTGTACTTGCAGACATCTTGTGAAACAGAGGCCTCCTTGAGGCTTTCCAAGCAACAGAACCTTGTGCGCAGGATTGGCGATGCAGTCCGTTTCGTTTCCATGCCCGCACAGCTGCGGCTGCATCAACTTGGGTCCCGGGGTCCTTTGCGACCAAGCTGCTCCCCAGGCCACGCATGTGTGACGCCACCTGCAAACTTTGCTCAGCTGTCCCCCTGGAAAAAGCCACAGACGAGCCTTGTAGCCACTCGCTGAGGTGTTGCAGCCAACCCGCCTCGACTGTCCTAACCTGAACGCGATCCAGGAAGTTGCTCTTGTTCGTCCCGATTGCTGAAAGCTAGCCATCGAGCCATGACAAGCTAGGTAAGTCTGTAAAAAGACGTCTCGGGAAGAACTGCGACGTGGATTCGATGCTGGCTTGCACTTCTAGGATGCCAGGGCGTCACTGCTGCTGACGTAAAGAACCCTCCTTCGGTTCTCGTTACTGTGCTCCTCGGGCCACCGCCAAACAGCTGGAACGATGGAGCCCCTGACAGCTGCAACCGAGTCTTGAACTTGTTCCTGCAATGCATATTCTGCCAGTGTCTCGGTGTCGCACCTTGTGGAAAAGTAAAAGCTGGCCGCACGGAACGGGCTCTGTGCCTTCGTTCAGTTTTGGGGTGTCCAGCGCGACAACTGGATCGCTGCAGTAAATTGCTGTCGACTGGCAGAAGCAAGCCAATGCACTCAGCCTGCTGTTGAAGTTCGAACTGAGCTGGGTGCTTCCATCGGCTCTTTCAACATCCGGCGGGGCCAAGGCGCCACAGGGGAAGAGTAGCGAGAGATATTTCACCACCTGTGCAAGCTGCTTTGCACCCGTGGCAGTCCACCGTGGCTTGGCCCTTGCTGTCTTCACTGGTAAGCTCGCCGCCTGACGGATCTCGTCTTCTGCGAGATCATGCCGAACAGCAAACCGGGCAATGATGCCAATCGCCACGCCCAGCCTGCAACTGGATTGGCCACACCTATTTGTCGGGAGTGGTAGTGTCCCCGCGCATTCCTGCCTAAGCTGAAAGTCTTTTGGGTCGACGACATCGGACCGCCTGCGACCAAAAGCAATTCTTAGGTTGTGTTGACAGGAGCGAGATTTCGACATCGTAGTATCAAATCGAAAACCTACTTGCAGCCAGAGCGCTTCGTGGGATGCATAATCTGCAGCAGGAGTGATTTCAGCTCGTTCACCCCACCGGATGTTGCACCGGCGTGGATGTAAATCGCAGACATTGCAACCGTTTCCTGCAGAGAGAGAAACAGAAGAGGTGAAACCAGCTCAGGCGCTGTGCTAAACAGTCGCAAGAAACCTGATCGTTGATGATCCCACAAAGGGACGACAAGGCGGCAAACCTGAATGTCTTGCAGTCCTAGTCCCAGCTTCCAGAACGGAATCACACAACAACGCACATAAGACACCAACCATTGAAATTGATGCAGGGACACCCCGGTTTCGATGCGAGCAGGAAGGCCCTCGCATCGTTTCGCATGACAAATGATAACAATGTCTGCACGAAGGATGAGCTGCTCAAGGCGAGGCTGGACCTCTTCCAAGCGGGTCTTCATTGTGGCTTTCAGCTTCATCAGCACTTCCTGGACAAAACAGAATCCAAACACACGGCGCGCTACTCATGGCTTTCGCACAGCATCAAGTGCAACAGGCAAGCACCGAGGAGCTCTTCGATCTTGACCGAGAATTCAATTCCGCACGACGTTTGAGCTGTCGTTTTCCACGATCCACACCCCATGAACAAAGTTGGTCTTGGACGAGGCTTCCAGTGACCAACAGCAAAGCAGCAGCATTGGCAGGGGAAAGGCCGATTAGACCGGGGGTCGTTGGGGGATAAACATATAAGCTCTTGTTGTATTCCAGCCAGTTGATAAGTATCGATATGCCGGACAGAGCGCTGCGTTTGGATTTCTGCCGCAACGCGCGTCCGGGCGCAGTTCTGTCTCGAGCTACCCGACATGAAACTTACAAAGTGAGCTTCCTGGTCCTCGAATTCCAAGTCCGTGCTTTGGGCCTTGAAGTCGGATTTCAGACAGACGTCCATCGTCTTTCTCTGTCCCAGGATCTCTAGATTTTGGGGCTGTGGGATTGCCTTCTTCCCTGATTTGTAGGATTTGGTGTTCTGGGTTTTGGGGCTCCGAAGCATCGGGTGCAAGCCTTCGTGAATGCTCAAGTGGTCGTGAGCGTCCAAGTGCTTCGGGCGAAGAGAGAGTGGGGTGAAGTTTCGGACTCCGAGTTAACTGTTAACTGATGAAAAACAGCGTCACACAACAGAGTGAAAACACTTGTGCCTTCCGAACCCTACCTCCAAGTCGATACAGTTAAGTACTCCGCACATAGTTCTCGCCGACCCACCGTGGGACCCATCACCTACCCACCCACTTAGCTCCTGGAACTGGAACAAGTATTCTACTCCAGGAGGTCAGCACATCCACGAACTTTGTCGTTCCGCTCTCGAGCCACCCAGAGACGGAACAACCCCGTCCCCTCAGTGAGTGTGGCGCTGAAGATGGTGAACTACGCCCGCTGACGAGAAGAACTGCCAACATGCGAACGCCCCGTGCCCCTGCCAAGACAGTCATGCAAAAGCCTTGCAGACTTCCTCACCGTCGAAGCCACTTCGCTTGCAGAACGTATACCTGGCAACATGCTGACAAAAGCCTGTTTTGCATCGATTTCGGCGACTGACAGCGACTGCGCGTGCACTGCGCACTCGTCCGGCAAGCAGAAGCAGTCAATGCTCCTCGTTTGCATGTTTCAACTTTTTTGATGCCAGCAATCCAAAAATACCAAGTCGGTCTGACGACCCCTGTCAGTTTCAAACGGGCCTGAAGTACTCAGCCCACTGTGCTGCTGCCTTCAGCTGATTTCTCCCAAGGCAGAGTTCCGACATCAGACTGACAGGCCCTGACCGAGCTTACTTGACCACCTGCTCCCTCCTGCAAAGGATCATCGTAGTTCCTGAGTGTGTTCGTTGTGGGCTTCGACTGCTTGGCTGCAGCCAGTATCCGTATTGAGTTGAAGCAGACAAAACGGGTGTGTGCTGAGCCTAGCGTCCACCGGCCTGCGCTGAAGTGAGCCTTCGGTGACAACTAACGGACAGTACTGTGGCCACCGAGTGTGCGTCGTCGACCAGGAAGACAGCAGGAAGCGTGCCAAGACCCCGGCACGACGAAAGGCTTCTGTACATTTTTCCTCTCGATGACATCCGTTGCACCACGCCAACATGTCAATCTTCGCGCATCATGTACCGGTCAAAACGCACATCACATCGCGTAGCTATGCTGGAGTCCGGATCGAAGATTCCTTCGCTTGGCCTTGAAATCCAACCGTGCACACTGACTACTCAGCTCACGTGAGGGCACGAAGAGTGCAAAAGCCACGACAGGCCTGCAGCAGTTCTGCACAATGATCAAGGCTGGAGGCAGCGCGCTGGACTTGGGGCAGCACGGCACAAAGGCTGATGGGATGGATGCATGCGATGCTGTTTGCAGCTGTCAGACAGACCTAGCCAAAGATGGTTAAGGCTGGCACAACTCTGGCATTCGCAGCTCGCGCAAACTGCTCGCACTCCTGTGAGCCGGCTACACGCAGCACGAAACCGTGATGATGATGGTGGTGATGATGATGGCATCGTAGCACACCGACAAGGTGCTTGAGGCGGAGCAACATTGAGATGTCATCCCTGCTCAGGACCAAAGTTAAGGGTGGGCGCGTGCTGCTTCAGCCCGGCTCCTTCTCGGTCACTTCAGTTGGGGCGTGGCGTGACTCGATGCACACAGGTTCCGAGGTAAGGTAGTTGCTGGTGTTCCGAAATGTTCCGAGTCTCGTCGGCGCGGCCGGCGTGCTCGCAACAGTGGCATCACGTAACACCACTACATACCCCTCCACCACAGACAAGTAATCGAAAAACCGACACGTTCTGCAGCACTTGCAACGTCAAGAGCGGGCCGGAACTCCTCCAAGGCCCTCCGACAAACCAGCTTCTCCTGTCACATCACCACTGTCGGTCATTGTGGTCACTCTTCTCATTTCTAATTCGGCGGCCCGTCCCGAGTCAGGAATACAACGACCTCAGCGCGATTTGCCCGCCGATGCTGCAGCTAAGCGCTTCCATTGCGATACCAAGGCGATAGCGTCGCACATCAAGTATGCAACGGCTGGCTGGAAGGACTCCTTGAGTGCCTCCGCGAGCGATGTTCAAGCACACACCCGACTGTGGTGAAGCGTGGGCCAGATCCGGCCTGGCGTCGCTTTCCTTCCCAGGACGCAACATCAGCACACCGCTGCACCACCTGGCATGAATTGAGCAAGCTGCATAGCTTGCCCGCCGATGTGCAAGCGCCCAGCATGAACCCCTCTCATGCCTTGGCCATATCGGCGGCATAGTACTGCAAGGGCAGTGTGCCATATGTCCTCGCAGAGCGAGGTTCAAAGTGCTGCCAGGGCAGCGAGGGCAGAAAAGGGCTGGCTCACCCTTCGAAGTCCACATAGTAGATCTGATCAACCTGACCGGACACTTTCAGGACTTGCATGGCTGCATGGCCCACTCGAGTCAAAGGCAGACCTGCACTACTTGAGCTTGGGACAGGATCCAGGTATAGGTTGATGTCGGATGTCATAGACTGCAGGTCCACGCCTGTCACAAGCATAAGAGTCACAAGTGAGTGTCTGGCACAGTACATGTGCCATCCTGCACACCACATCCAACTCTCGCAGCCTCCAGCGAAGCTCTGCTCGAAACGAGCTGGCTGAGCTGCACCCTCGCTCTGGAGCTTGCTGACCTCATCGCCAGTCGCGCGGTTGCGGGCAGCGGCAGCTGCGAGCGGGAGCCGAAAGAGGGCAGCGACGAGCCAGCTCTTCCCCGCCGAAGTGGCACCGACAAATCCAATGGCCAGCGCAGGCTGATCGCGATCTGCCTGAACGGGGACGACGTCTAGGTGACAAAGTCTCAGCGAGATCCCCACAAAAGCGAACCTCCCGAACATGTCGGGCCCAGTTCTCGGTGGCTGGCGAGAGCGTGTACCTCGTGCTTGCTTACACTTGTACGCACACGTGTCAACTGCTCAATCCTGCCGTGACATGCTCCTCTAACTGGCCCTTGGCTTCTACTTTCCAAGTGCGACACAGAGGCGGAAAACGCAACACGACTTCATTGGCCGGGATTCCGAGCTTGCCCAAGCAGTCAAGTGGCCAAAACTGGCAACGGTGGCAGGCTTGAAGCAGAGCGCTTGAACAGTACATTCGACAAGGGAGTGCAAGGGGATTGCCCATGATTCCGCATTGCACCTTTTGAAATCGTAACGAAAGCATTGTAAAGGAAAACCGCACGGAACGTTCGACGATTGTCTTGGAATTCTCCAAGAAAGGGCCCATGTCGAGCATTTCCAACACGGCATGTTTACTATAGCAGATTCGATTCGCGGGTCTTAGCAAAGTGCATCGACAAGCACCTGCAGTTTGCAAGTCTTAACAAGGTAGCAAATCCGACAGTCGTACGCGAGTTGGGCGGAAAGAACCGTTTCATGTTTGAGTTCCACTCTCGTCTAGGCCAGACAGTGGAGCGAGCGGTGGGAGGATCTGTTGAGCAATAACCGCAACATGTCAAGGTTGTTAAGAATGGCGGTGCTCACCAAGCATGAATTCTGGCAACTTGTGCTCGTGTATTGGCCGATCACGAAGCTTGTACCTTAATGAGTTTATTCAAGCAGCCCCGGGAAGATTAGAGCATATCAGCACCAAACTCAGCTGAAGCGATCAGGGTTCAATACCACCAAAATGCACAAGATAAAGGAGTTCGGAGCACAGGCCCATGCTAGGCAAAAGCAGTGGGCACAGGCAAGTCTTCCCACTTACGTCGGCTTTGTGTGCCCGTGCGGAATACATTCTCAAACGCGAACCCCCTTGCTACAAGCAAAAGGGTCGTGCACGGCACACCGGCAACATAGCCACACCAGGCTGTATGCAAAGCTTTGCGCTTAGCCACACCACAGAGCAAGCAGCTTGTCTGCGCACCCCGGTTCCCAAATCTTCGCCTAAGCAGCTTCACGTGTCTCTCAGCCGAGAGTTGGCATCGACACAGCAGAACCAAGGGGACCACCGTCTTTGTGCCGCACCTGTCTTGTCTTGACTGCCAAGGTCCGCGGAACTACGGTGGGCTGTGGCAACGACTCCCAGGTCGGAGTTGGCACCAGGTTGAGAAGTCGTTGGCCGCCATCTACCTGATGGAAGCGACAGTGCCAGATATTTGGAAGGCAGTAAACGGTGAAACGGCGTCTGCCAGCAGCAAAGGGTCTCCCCAACACAGCAATCACATCAACGGAAATCGCGGCAATGCTCCGAAGCGACTCGCCTCATGTGCTCGACTCGGTCGTGGCAATGCGACACCAGGAACGGCCACATCCTGAGCCGTCTCAAGTGACTGGTGCTGGTGTTACAGGGCTTGGTACCGAGCTGGCACCCCATATCCTTCGGCCATGCGCCTCAGGCCTTGCTTAGACTTTCGTGCAGCTCATGCTTGCACTACTCTGACGAGCGCATCTCAGGCGACTGAGCTCGCGGCGCTTATGCCTTCTGGCTCTACTGCATGGGGTCTCTGGGCTCTAGGCACACACATGCCGTGCAGTGCGTACAAGTCGTCCGCATCCCTTGCATGCTCAAGCTTCTTCGAAAGCGTTGGCAGCTCTTGTCTGATCAATGTAACGGAGTACAGTCACCCCATGCATTTCAAACCCACAAATGTGCAAGACAAGACAAACCTGAAGAGCCGGCAACATCCTAAAGCATCACACGAGGTCTCAACGCGAAACCGCCGTGTGTAGTGGGCAAGGAGACAGGAAGACGACACTTCAGCGAAAGGCACGACTCTTGCATACTCTTGTAATCAATCTTGGCGGTCTTGTTCATGAGCGCACTCATCCGAAGCAGCTGCTTTTGCAGGAGCTGTCAAAGACTTAACATAAATGTTCAAGACGGGGACTCCGGTCTAGTCCAGCAGAAAGAACCCGTTCAGCACACTCTGCGACAAATCGGCACCGCGTGCCTTAGCGTGCAGACACTGTCTAACTTCCACTGCCGGTACTGTCCAACTTCGACTGCACCGTCTGGCTCGGCGGCGTAATGTTCATGAATCCATCTGGCGCTCTGTCAGACCATAGATACACATCCTACTAAATTGCAGCAACAACTCCAGTCCGCGCAGGGTGCACTTTCAGTTTCCAGCATGTCGTGCTTGACAGTCGAAGGGGCGTCCGTACTTGCCTCGCGGGTCGATGTGCCCCGGCCCCCGGCCGCCGAGTGCTCACGAGTTCTCATATTCGCTTCCAAGGAGCGGATATTCTCGAAGATTTCGTTAATGGTGTGGCTGGTGCCCAGCCCCTGCAGCATGATGCAGAATGCACATCTGCGCCTGTACTGAATCAACATTGAGGTTGCAGCCATGGTGATGAGAATGAAGGCCACGATGGCTGCGCACGGAACGATGTCACTCCTGCGCAAAAAGCTTCAATCCAGGCATGCTGAAGAGTGTGCGACAAACTCTAGGCTGGCATCATAATTATGGGCAAACCGTGTCCAGCCCAACACGAAAATACCGCGGGGCATCGAAGGACTCCTTGGTGCCCTTGGCATCAAGCATGACACCACAGCAGGGGCACATCCGGGGAGCGTGAGCACTGTACTATTCTGCACCCATACACCACGGACAGGATCTGACATGCAGACATGCAAAACGACTGCTGCCAAAACACGATTGTTGGATCTCCAATCGGGATGATGGCTCCTGCCTGTGGTGGGTCCCGCAAGACCAAGGAAGATGACATGGCTATAGTTAGCACAAGTTATCAGTGAGGCATACAAAACTTCAGATTGAAGATGTGGGGGTGCCGGGGGGGGTGGACGTGGCCGAAGTGGCCTGCTGGTCCCCTGCCCGTTTGAGACCTCGCGAGGCTCTAAGACACGCAGCTGCAGGCAGTCGTCCCGAAATGCTAAGGCCAAAGCTGGAGTTGTGCGCCGCTGCCTTAACAGTGTAAATAGCCCCACCGAAACCAGGAACTTATTTCGGACTCTGACGTTTCTTCTCCATTCATCTCGCTCATTTGGCACGTACCTGACGCAAATGTGTGTGCGAAACGAAAGCACCAACAGCATTCAGCCAAACGAGGATCATGCGAGTCGAGCATGACACTTCCTGTACCTTTTTCTCCGCCGCACAATCATGTTGTTGCATACAGGTGCCCGCGAATGCCAATATAGACCGACAGCACATCCCATTGCATGTGAATGGGCCGATCGTCACTAGAGCGGGCATCAGGTGCAAGCTTTCGAGCGCTTCCCTCGACTTGCTTCCCTGGCTTTCTCGGTCTCCTCAATTTCTTTGTGCCAATTCGGGTTTCCTGGATCCTTGGATCAATGAGTGTCGGGACAACAACAGATATTGGCTTCGCAAATCACAAAGCCAAGGTTCCTGCTCATGTCCCTGGGCGAAGGTGCTGATTGCCATGTCGAAGCGCTTCAGTCCTCGAAGCGCCACGCCACGCCGGAACAGCGCCTTAGGCCATGTCGGGGCCAGCTCCTCACATTTGGTAGCATCCTCCAAGGCGGCACGGAAGTCCCCGGAGGCGGCGTGCGCAGCACTTCGGTTGGAGAGCAGTGTCTTCGAGAACTCGGCGTCTGCCAGCTCGAGGGCTTGCGAGTACAGGGCGATGGCTTCTCGGAAATCCTGACCCCGGAAGGCCTGGCGCGTGCACTGCGCACATGCCGGCATGCTCTGAAACGTACGCACACAGTGCGAGACAGAAAGCCTCTGCTCGACAATCCCTTCACTTCACTCCAAGTGAAGCAACAGTGTCTGAACGTGGCTATTGGTTGCCATGCTGTTCTGTTTCAGCAACACTTACCAGCTCAACCGCCTGACTTCAACACCACTCCTGCGCACTAAAAGTCTTGTGAATCGGTACTTGTCATGACAACTTCATCCTTTAGAGAAGGCGTTAGTGATAGTGATGCTGACATTCAACGGAAAAAGGTGATAGCCTGGCTCTGTCCAGTGTCACACACGGACAACATGAAAAGAGTTGAAACAAAACACTGAAACGATGATGCCTGATCACCTTTGCTCTTCAGCTCCGTGCTTCGTGGTGCCAGTGGTGCAGTGTCGCTGTCGCCAGCCATGGGCCCGAGCCATCTACATCCAAAGAGGCGGGTACGAGGAAAAGACAATTTTTTAGGGGCAGGTAGCAGTTGGATGCAACGATGAGAGTTCCCAGTCCAAATTCTGATTCTAAATCATAGATAGTCAGGCTTCACAGGGCTCTCAGTCAACAAGGGAAAAGTCGCATCTTGCCATGCGTCGTAGGCCTACGCAAGAGCTCTGTCAGAATGTAATGCCGGCAAGCCAGTAGCTGACATGGCCGTTTCGGTTGCTGGATGAGGCCAACCCGGCCAAGTCTCAGGGGGTTCAAGCAGGTAACGGGCCTGATCTGACTGACGTCTGCTCCGCGCCGGCCTTGCTCGGGCAAATGCTCAAACGATCAGATGTCACGTGTGTGTAAGATCACCGCCAGAGCCCGTCTCGCCCCAATCCAGAAAGCCTGTGGCATCAATCGCGATGTCATCTCGGCCCTTCCCTTCCCCGACGCAGTGGGCCCCAGCAATCGGCAAGAGAAAGGAGATCGGTCCACTGAGCAAGCTCCCTGCATCAGAGTTTGGGTACTTGCCAAGGCTGGACCCTGCAAGCATCCGATCACAGCAACGGTTTCTATGGCTGGGGGCATCCTCTGTCCATCCGGGGTCAGCGATGCCCCCACCGCAGAACAGCCCAACTCGTGCGGCCTATCAAGGCCAACATGTCGGAGAAAAACCTCGGTCAAGAGCTGCGCTTGGCTGAAATCAAGATTATACTGCCCCTTCGTCGCCCAATCGCAGCAGGGAACGGTATGGAGTTTGCGATCAAACAGCCGGTTGTGAAAATGAATACCTGATCCGAGCACTCAGGCACGAAATGCGAGCTCTGGTCGGACAGGGGATATGGACCAATCGCACGGGCGTTCGTGATGGCGCACCACAATGGCACTAAACTCTGCCTGTGCTCGGACACCTCCTGGCCTGTCACAGAGATGGAGATGGAGCCACAGCGACAAGTCCGACTTCCGCCGCTGAGGCAGCGACTCCCGAAAGCCGGTGTCTACCCTGCTGGGAGCAAGACGCTCATGAAGGGCACCTCACCCGGCACGAGCTCAGGAATGACAAGCTGCCGTGGAACACCCGAGGGTTGGACGACAGATAACGACATTCTTTACCAGAAATGCAATGGCCACATGCGCGAAGAGCAGAATGGATGCCTGGCTGACAGGCAGTCAAAGTTAGAGACTTGGCTTGTGGCAATCCATCTCTTAGGCATACGAGACAACGAAAGTGCTGGACGCTCACGGGTTGGGAGCCCCAATACATTGAACAGGCACCCAACGGTAGGGTTCTCCATCGGGCAGATTGTCCAGGAAGTAACCTTCGGCCTGGCACAACCGTGGCGTCACAACGGACTCAAGCGGGGCACACTCCGGCAATCCTTGTCACCAGCGAAGTGATATCCTGAACATAGGCTGGGCAAGCTTGGGGTCACACTGTGGAGTCACGAGTTTCTGGCCCCAGAATGCCACCAACAAATAGAGGAACACCTGCAGTCGGATTCTGATGGTTGCAACCAATGAGCTAAGACTTCTAGCCTGGAGCGGCGCATTGATGAGAAAGACCCTGGGAAAGTCATCCGGCCTGCGGGAGAGAAGAGTAGTGAAAAAGTTCGAAACACCGTTCGTGAGAGGCTGATGGACAGCCAGAAAAATTCGGGGAAGGCGCGTCTGCATGTCTGCCATCAGCTCGAAGTAAAGCCAGTGGCCTGCAAATGCGGCTTTGAGAAAGCACCGACAGAGCAAAGCTTTTCAATGGCTCCTGCAGGCCCAACTCGCAGACTGCTAGGGCATGAGCCTGACTAGCACAGCGGCAAGGCAAGCAAAGGACAGGGCCTGCGTAAGAGTAGACCACATTGGAGGCTGCACCGAATACCTGCGTAGTCTGGAGCCATTCATGCTATTTTGCTGCATCTGCAGCAGCTCTGGACAAGCGCACGGTCCAGAACGTAAGATCTTTTGCGAAAGCATAGGTGTTCACATCGGATGGTCGCCTGACGCACGGACGTCCGGTGGGAATTCGTATTGCTATACAGACCTGCAGTCTCTCACCGAACTCACGTCAGTATAGGGGCTGGCCCGTCCAAGTACATCTTCGCCATGACCTGGTTTTGCGCCGGCGATGTTTGCAGCTGGTGTCCACTTGGGCTTGCCCAAAACATCTGGGTCTTGAGCAATGGCAAGGACTGCGACGATGAGGAATAGATTGAGGAAACAAAGGGCGACCTCGGAGCACTTCACCGGAACTCCGTCGTGTTGTGGCGAGGGGCCGGCACCGAATCGGAAAGGTGCCTCACAGACACTCCTATGGGAAGGCCTCAGTCCGCAAGAACTCCGGTCGCAACGTGGCAGTTCCGGGCCGGGTTACGGACACATGAGGCAGGAGAGAGCAGTAGCCGTTGGAAGGCACAGCTGGCTTTGGAAGAACACCCCCTCAGCTGGATCCAGTTAACGAGGCCACTTCGGATCTGTCTGCCATCATGAGAGCAGCAACTGAAGGAGCACCGGGCCTGCAGGCACTGCCCCAGGACCAGAATGTAAGAACTCTGGCCTTCCGTTCCGAATACATCCACCCACGGCATCTTTCAAACAACAAGGCCGCGGCCGAGAAATGCGAATCCATAAACAGCGAAGTACGTGGCAGAAGCAGCTTTGTCTCCGCCCAACGTCATCCGGGCGGCCTCGAATCGGCGAAGCAGCGAGTGACTCACGTGCTCCAAGCCACCCACCTCGCCCATGGATGTCGGCCGTGCACCTCTTCAACTGCTGCATTTCCCCAAACTGCGCCAAGCAAGCATGCCGCTTCGACCTCCTGGTAACTTGGCTAAAGCACTCGCCGTCCTCCACGTGAAAGAATAAGTGCCGAGGCAACGGGTAAGCCCCCACAGCCGCTGCCTTGACATGAGGAGTGCCGTGTAAATGGCCACAGGGGCTAGAGCAACGATGAACGTGATGGTCCACACCTGGCGGGGGCTAGTGTTCAATTCCTCGGGTGTTGCTAGAGGCCAGCAGAGGACAACAGAAGTTCACATTTGGCATCTTGAACTCCGATCGTCGTGCTTCGCTCACGGGAACCACGAGCAAGGGACCCATCCCAGCTGCGCGGCAACTCCTGCAAACGTCAGCACCTTACACAGTGCTTAGCGATCGAAAGCTGCGACGGCTGATGCTCATGCACAGAGAGTGAGTAGGGCAGGGGCCGAAGTGCCCACAATGTCCGTCAGCATAATCCAACTTGTACCTACGAAGCAGATGACCAGCTTCCAGCATTGCTGGCTACAGCAACGAGAGGAATTCACAGGGTTACCCAGCCAGTGGCTACCGCGATGAGCCGACTCCACGGAGATGAAGGACAACGACATCCTGCTATGACCAACTCTGGAACTTGCACCATCTGCCAAGCATGAATCTAACCGTGCCAGAAGCACGCTTCGGTGTGTGGTCTGGGGATGTACCCTCCCAAGGCCTAACCGTGTTTCTCTTGCCTCGACCTCGAAGCGTTCAGAAAAAGCACCTTCTTCTGGTAGAAAACTTCACAAGACTGAGGTTCGTGATCAACAGCATGAATTCCTGGTCCCTATCTGCTGCTTTCCTTCTTACCCCTGGCAACACATCGTGTTCTGGCTTGACCCACGGCTTGCAGAGACACATGCAGGTCCTGATTTCCTTCGCAGTGGAACTTGCGGCACACCGTGACACGCACAGGCAAGCGACCCTTTCGCACAGTCCGTCTGCAACAATTTGCGCAAATCCTTCGAAAGCCTCTCAGCTACGTCTGCCGGAAAGTGGCCATCAGCCTGGAATCAGCATGCTTTTGCTGAAGCAAGGCAGCGCGAATGACACATCATCATTCTAACCAACACTCACACAACTCTGCAGGGACGAAGAAATCACAAAGCCAGCCTGCTTGGCACATGTTTTGCAGAAGCGCAGCTTGTAAAACCTGAGCTCTGCCGCTTCAGGGCAGCACTCATCCGAGGTCTTCTCCCATGTGGAAGAGCCCGAGAGCGCCACAGGGAACACTTCTCATCGACGCACACTGGAGAAGCACAGACACTGCAAAGGGCTCCCAAGCAGATGCTCTGAACCTGAAGCAGCCGAAAAGGCGTTCATGTCATCAGATCGCTGGAAGCATCTCGGCTGCTGACAGACCCGTATTCTGCTGGAGACCTTTAGCGGTACCGGGGAAACAGCATGAATTGACGGAGATCTGAATCACAAGGTACCCTTTTTCGTCGCGGCTTTGGCCATGACGGCCAGAGCTACCTCGCCTCCCTCTCACAGCTCTGTTTTCCGGTGTGGCACGAACCCACCAAAGTATTCTCACATCCTGTATAGTGTATCGTGTCTCGCCACTGCTAGATGCAGTGTCTTCATGCTCTCGCGGTCTAGCAGGAGGGCCTCTTTCGCTCTCTCTCGCACGGGTGGGTAGCTGAATAAGGTTTGCTATGTGCAGCACAAGGCCCTCGACCTGACAAATGCAGACTAAAGCAAGTTTGTGATCACCAGCACGAGAACTCCTGCACTGGACCCATCCCACAGACTGGGAGAACTGCAGCTAGCTCTCATCGGATATTCGAAACGCACTTGTTGCTTCGATTTGACGAACGTGAACGACGTCTCCGGCTCCTTACGTTCACTGACCCCCACCACCGCTGCCCGTGTTGGAAGCCAGGGTCATCATGAAGTGCTTTCAGCCATCTTTCAGCCCGGCTGTTTCAGTGCTACTGGCCGCGCGTCTGCGGCCTAAGGCGTCCGAAATCGTCTGAACAGCACAACGCTTGGCGTGTGTCGAGTTTCTCAATAGATCATACCTCCGGCGCTACTTCACGTAATAGCACCCTGCGGAAATGCCGCCACAAGTGACCGAGATGCTTGTCCCTTGCTTCTTTCACGCACGAGGGCCATGCGGATTCTGCAAAGCGAAGATGTCCTCAACCCACCTTTCCAGCTACGGGGCTGCAAAGCCGTGAATGACATTGCGAACGAAGAACCTCACTGCTTCGTGCTCAAACGGTGGAGTCTTGCCAAAGTAGTCATAGCCTGGGCGATCGCACAGTCAGGGATGTACTCGAAACGAGAGACAAACAGAGAGAGATAGAGGAAGGATAAGCCGGCACGCAGCCGCTCAGTTGCTGGCGGCATCTGAAGCCGCACACCGAACAAACAAAGTCGCCCCGTTGCTTTGGAGGCATGCTCACGATGTGCTGTCTAGGGCAACGTCCTGCCCATGAGATATATTGCACTTGACGCATGTAAATATAAACATCTCCCACCGTCTCTCACCGCTTGCACAGGATGGGAAATGTTCTTTGATTTGTGCGTGATGCTTTGAAAGCAGTGGAAGCAATGCCTGGGGGCACGGGAAAGCATGCCCAGGCTGCATGCACGAAGGCATTGATCCACAAAAGCTTCGCCTTTTTTCTTCGGGTGCGCGTCTGTCAAGTGCGACGTGCCATCTTCAGTGACTTCGCTACACGGCGTTTCTTCTTGGGGCCAGCTGCTTCAGCTTCAGTCGCCGATGACTTACCTCCGAGAATGGTCTCGAGCAAACTCGCCATGGCATCTGCAGAGGAGTCGCCCTCGGCTGGTAGGCGATTTGCAGGCGCAGGGCCATGCGAGCTGGGGACCTCTTCGGGTCCCTGCTCATCCGATGAGAGTGGCTCTTCCATGCCAGTACCCGCAGCATCGAAGCCGAGTGCCTCGAATATCCGGCGTTCCTCCTTCTTCCTCTTGGATGGATCCCGTGCGATCCCAAGATTTTTCTCCAGCTTGCGCATAAGCGCCTCATCTCTCGCTGCGCCTTCTGGATCGAACAACGTCTCGACCCCGGAGGCCCTTGGACCTGGAGGGTTGCCGGATTTCTTCAACTTAACATTCTTCACGGCTGTCTTACTCTTTCCTTGCCGCTTCTTTGGTATTTCGGAGGGAACTTCTGCAACCTGAACAGGGGGCTGCGCGTCTTCCTGGGCAACCAGCCTGTTTGCTCGCTCCGCCTTCCTGGCACGCCGTTTCTCCTGCTCCTGGCTATGCCTCTCGGCTTTCTGGATCTTTCGCTTGCTTCGTGCAGCGCGCCTTCGCGCCGCTCGCCCAGTTTCCTTTGCTTTCACTTGCTCCTCAGCCGGCTTCTCCGGCGCATGGTGGCGGAGAAGTGAAGCCAAGTGGTTGGGAAGTCCCCGACCCATGCGAGGCGAGACTAAGACCCTTCAAGCACAGCTTACCACATGTCTGGTAGAGGACCTATTTCCTGAAGGGTGTTTGAGACCGAGCTTAAAGGGGAGCCTCTCGCTGACTCTAGCTTCTAGAAACAGCAGCAGAGCAGCCTGGGGCAGACTCATGGCCCTGGGAGTTGGTCTCGCACAGCTTGACTCGGCAAGACACCCGCCACCCACACGCGTCAGCATGCAGGCAGCAACTACACTCGCCAGCATGAGGTTTGTGCCTTTTCGTGCCTTCTGCAGCTGTCTTGGTCGCTTATGGACCACACACAGAATCTGAAAGCAGCTGGCCGTGTGGCAAACAAGATCTTCGAGACTTTGAGAGCTGGGTGAGGGATGCTTGTCGGTGCAGGCAGAAGCCAATCGAAAACACCAATGCATTTTTGCCTTCTCTTGACACAGTGATATCATGTCTTTGGAGGTGGAACGTCTGCAGAATCGTCCACACGGATTTCAGCTCCGTCTCCAATTCCTTGCGGCCGTGATAAAGTTGCTCCACCGTTGTCGGATCCGAAAAGCGAAGGGCCCCGGCCGAAGAAACCGAGCTCCCTGGCCTCATCATCAAGCGGCACCTGCTCCAAGCATCTTGAGCTGTGCAAGACCCGAGGCCGATCCGAGGCACCGGCCCCAAAGGGTAGCCCGTCATCTGCTAGGGTCAGCATCAGCCGATCCAATGGCACCTGCGATGGCATCACTTTGCAAGCGGTGCAGGTTGGTTGCGTCTGTGTGTGCACCTGCTTGAATAGAAGCTGTGCGAGTCTTTTCAGCTCTCCCACTGTCATGGTGTGCGGCACCTTCTCAGATCCCTACACGCATGATGTCTGCGGAGCTGCTCCCAGAGAACGGAGATCGCGCGTTGGTATAAAGGCCTTCTTTCGTGTTACGGGTTTCTCCACAATGGCGGCGCCCACCGGTCGCAAGGCGACCTGATCGCAACAGAACTTTCCTGCAAAGCAATGCAGCGTGGCAGATAGCATGGGTCTGCCTCCACTAATGCATTCGACAGTGCGGATCGCGAAGCTTGCGAGTGCTCGGTGATGTCACCACCGACCTAAGCATCAGGGACGGCGATGGCGGCTCCGACGAGGCGAGAGCCAAAGTACACTTGGCTTCGGGCTACCGCACCGTGGATTGCACGTAACCTTTCAACCTCGACTGTAAGTTCTTACGTCCAGAGCCGGCAGTCAAGAGATCGAGTCTGTGGCATGCTCTTGGATGTTGCAGGATTCCGCCAGCCCCTGCACCTCAAAAATGGAGTCGTTAAGCACAGCGAAAAGACGGAGCTTTTGAAACTGAGGCCCAACCAGCAGGCTGTCAGTCTGATGAGCAATGGACAGGAAGTACCTCTCGTCGGGCCAGTGCCGCGCGATTGTAATGCCCCTCCCGGAACGGCCTCTCTGCAGCCGTCCTCTCCTGCAACATTCAGGTCCAGTGGTGAGACTGTCCGACTTCCAATTGCCATAAAATGACCCCAGCCACCTTCACGGTTACCTCAGAAGCATTGAGCCGCATGAGCGTTGGCATGAGTGCGATCAAAACCTTGCGGCACTTAGCGTCAAATCATTAAAAACAAAAAACTGCAAGCCAAACACATGTTTACTCGCGCTTGCTGAACATCTGGCCTGTCGCAGCAGCATCGGAGAGGCAAGTGGAGATCCCGAATCTGTGAGAGGGATTCGCTGCACCTCTCACGATGGAGCTGTTTATCGAAACGAGCACAGCATTCTCGGCAGGCCTTGAGCTCCAAGAGCGCGTAGCTGGCGAGCGCACCGATGCTTCGCCAGGAGGCCTCAGCCAAAACCATCCAAAACCCACTGACACAGCCGCACATGGCCTTTGCAGCATGCAGAGAAGCTGCCAACTTGTTTTCGTTCAAGAAAAGTGCCTCGTCGCGAGGACGTGCACGTGCTTTGACCGATGATACAAAGAGAACCTCTCGACGCTTCGCCTTGCTTGGGGTCTCGCTGTTAGGCGCCTTGGCGTTTGGTCGGCCGCAGCTTGAGCTAGACCCTCGATGCCTGGGGGCTGAGCATCCGCGGAAAGTCCCGCACATCCCGGCCCGCACCAGCTCACGGATTTCTCGCTGAGTTTCGGTACTTTCGCCGAGCAGGTTTCCATTCAAGTGCAGGGCCTGGGCCCGACATTCCGTAGCACCGTGCACGATTCCATGAGACGCACTGCCTGCAGTGAGGGAAAAGCGGCAATCGCACGGCGCCTTAGAACAGGTCTGCCTTTCAACGCATGGAATCCCACTCATCCGGACACCGAGTGTAAGAAGGCACTGGCAGAACCGTCCAGTCCGAAATGCGGTTGTTATCCAGAACCTGGACAGTCGGTGGGTGGATCGAGCACCATGACATGCCAAAACCATAAGGCGGAAGCCAGCGACTGAAGTCTTTGCAAGCGGCGCACAGGCGCATCGGCGTTCCCCTGTCGGCCACATCTTGAAGCAAGATTGGTTCCGCCTTCTTGTGTATCTGGAGCAACTAAGCTCAAGATCAACGCCACTCTTATGATGGTTGTGATCATGCCTCTACGACTTGTGCTTGGATCCCTGATGGCCCTCATGCTCCATGCACCAAGATGCCCTGGATCTTCGCGACGGGCGCTGTCAAGGCCATTGTCAACATATCCGCCACCCCTATTTTTGCCCCTCCGCGGGATGCTTCAGATAGTGAAGTTTTTCACTTTTGGCCAGAAGATACACAAGGCACCAGCATGACACACAACCACGTCTTCTCAAAACACGGCAAATGCCTTTAGGAAACAGTGCCAACAGCGACTTCATGATCTGTCCACGCCACGCAAATCAAAGTCAAGCTAAAATGAATAGTTGCTCTGGTGCACCTAGAACTTTGTCACAACAGTTGGCGTCCGTAAGAGTTCAAAACAAGCTCAACCTGAATTTCTGCATGTGCTAACTTGTAACTCTGCACGAACCAACCAACGGAATACAAAGGATGCGACAGCAGCAAGCACCTCTGCATCGCCGAGGGTAGTTGGGATGCCCTGCCAAACCACCGCGACGAAATGACACTATGCACATCTGTCTACTCACCGTGCGGTCGGTGCTGGATTTGATGGGGGCAGTGGTGCGAGGCAGCCCTGATTGCATGACACGTGCCTCCTCCAAAGAATTCTGGGAAAGATGCAAATGCTCCAGCTGTGGGAAGAGGCCTGCACCACACTAGCTGTCATGTTACACGCTGACTTCGGAAACCAAGATGCAAGACGAACCTTCTGCCCACAATTCTTGAGCAATACCACAGGTGCCAAAGTCTGAAGCTCGATTTAGTCTTCAAGGCGTTCGCACCACCGAGCTGCCAAGCGCTGTGGCTCTGCGACATCATTCGATGTGAGCTCGTGCCTACCTGTCAAAGACTAGTGGCCCTGCATCTGAACCAGGACTTTCTGTGTCGGAACTTGTTGAATCTTGGCCATCTGTGTGCTCACAATCAGAGCTGTCATGCCCTGGGTCATCGCTATCGTCCAGCGAGAGCTCCTGTGCTTCCAACACCTTGGATGGCCAGTGCGAGATGGGAAACTCCATGACCCGATTGGACACATCAACGCAACGGGCCGCTGCATATCGAGGGCTATAGACATGCTTCAAGTTTCGGAGCATATTCAAATCCAGACGGAAGGGCTCGCAACCAAAGTTGAAGGACAAGTCCCAGGGCGTGTCAATTCCAACGCATGGATAGAATCGAGGCTCGACAGTTGAGAACACCGGAAAACAAACACCTAGAAGCTCGCCGTTCAGCGCGAAGAAAATGCCCAACTCTCCAGGTGTGTCAAGCTTGCAAACCCCACAGCCGATGACGTCGCCAACGCTAAACTTCGGCATGCGGCCTCGACCCTGACGTTTTTCTGAATCGTTTCGGGAAGCGTCGGCTGAGTAACCATCTGCAGTTCCTCCTTGGCAAGAGCTGATCCACAGTGGATTGAACCGCTGACCTTGGCCATGTCCGTGGTAGATTTGACCATCATCTCCGTGCAGTGCCCAGCTATGCGGGTTCCAGCCTGCTTGTTGTCGGCACAGGCCTCGCATTGGTATCGATGCGAGCGCCAGGCCAACGGACACGCAGTGTGCCCCAGGCAAATCCCGGGCAGGAACAACCCGATCCGCCGGTCTTTTGATCTCGACCTCGTAGTATGTACAAGCGCGCCGAGCGATGCGCCATGGCCACGCAGGCTTTCTTCTGCTCAGCATCTGTGGTAGCTGTGGCCGAGGCTCTTCAGGAAAGGCTGCGACCGCTCCCTGCCAAGGCAATGGATGTTTCGCCATAACACAGCGATCACCACCGAGGGGGCTTGCAAGGTGACAAGAGGTACATCGGGCGAACACGTCCTCCGAAAAAACGACTTCTCGCAAGAGGTTGGCACAGTGAACTGCAGGTGTCGCCTTCGCATCTGGGAGCAGAGGGAAGCGAAATTCTTCCAAAGTACAACGTAACTCGTTTCCAGCTGTTGCGCGCAGAGATCCGGGACGGAGCCTGTCCGCTGGGTAAAGAGGGTAAAGATCCTCTTCCTCCTCTTGGGGCTCTGACTGCTCCTCCATATCTTCCGTGCCAAGGTTTTGGTCAGGATCCTTCTCCGACATGCAGGATCTTCCATGTGCTGCATACGCCTGCACAGCACCACCGATCAGGTCACGAAACAAGGATTTCCAATGTCGCTGTAAGAGCAGAGTTGGCATGAATGAAGATTCGGCTTCTGATGAGCAGGCTCCCTGCTGCAACAGCATATCAACGTCGACGTCAAAGCGAAGCTCGATTGTGCAGGAGCTATCGGCATTGATGAATCGCTCCAAATGACACTTACAAATGCTGGACCAGTACAGCTCAATGGATCTGCTGTTCAGAAAAGGCCCCGTGCTTGAACTCTGCAATGCCAAGAAGCTACGTGGGTCCAGAAATGTCGTCCAGTCTGGGGGAAGAGCCTCAAAAACATAAAGCTGCTCCATGTCGGCCTGCGCCAAGTAGTCATGCTGACGGGGCCTTGAGCCAAGAGCTCACATTCCTGCAAGACTCGCACTCACGAGCATTGCAGCATGATGCCGAGTAGCCCTTGAAACCTCCAAGGTCCCATGACCCTGACCCTCACATGTCGTAGCAACACATGAAAGCAGGTCCCACCTAGAGCATCGACTGCAAGAAGGTCTGACCAGGTCTCAGCTGAGGGCAAGCCACTGCAATCCACTGCATTTAGGCATGGATGACCGGCTGCTGGCTGCTGAGCTCCCGGCAATTCCCGTACCGTTCAGGATCAAGGTCCGAACTTTGCACACGAAAGGTTTGAAGACCAATCGATCTGACATGCCTGAGCCCACAATTCCAGTCAAGAGCAGGCATGCCAAACAAGCACTGCGTTCGAAGTTTCGTACTATTCGGCGCGTGAGCCGGAGCAGGCAGTGCCCCTGGCTGGCAGGCTCTCAGCCGCGTCCTCTGCAAGACACCAGCAGCGCATACAAATACGCCAACCCTGTCTACTTTCACCCTCCCGCGATGCCACTGATCTGCGAGGCAAGACACTGTTTTGGACAGCCTCACCCTGATCGTGTGGCTTTTCATGGGCTGTTCCGATGTGGTTCGTGCATCCAGGGGGACACCGGCAGGGGACTAAGGAACGAAGTCCTTGAGAGAGACAACCACTCCAGGTTCGGACACAGCTCGCAAATGGCGGCGACGTCGGCCCACTCGCAGATCAGGGTCTTGTCCTTGGTGGTTTGGCCCAGGATGTGCAGTCCTAGCTGCAACGCAAGATACGAACGAGTAAGAGGCTGGCCAGCCAAAGACTCTTGAGGTTGGGCAAGCTCCTGAAAACAGTCTTTGCCAGTGGTGGCTTACCACAGGTTTTGACAGCCGGTCCAGTCACCCGACCAGATTTCATCAGGGTAGCGTGAAGCCAGGGCACTCTCAGCCAAGGACATCCTGCAAGCACAGGACGAATAGCACGAGCCTGCTCCAGGACTCAAGGTCACTGGGGCTCCGGCTCGACGAATCCCTCCAGGCGCTGCTGACGCTGCTCGATATCATAGCGACCAACAAACCTGGCAGTGCAGGCACACAGCACATGAAGCACAACTGAGAACTGGCAGCAAGCATAGCCAGCATAGGCAGGTTCACCCTTCAATCTGCAAGCCACAAGCGAGGCAGGCTGACTCCACCGACATGGACTTCTCCCTGCCCTCGTGGGAATGCCAATGATGTTTAGCACCGTGACAAAAGCATCGACACAAGCCTTGGAGTCCATGTAGTCCATGGCATCCAACGTCTCTTGTCGTGTGCTCTTCTTGGCTGCCTAGCTGCATGAGGGACATCACATCGGAAGATATCTCGTCCTAAGTTTGCGGCCTCGGGCAGCGCAGCTGCAAAGTACTTCTCTGCAATGGCACGCCTCGCTCGCGCAAGTGGCTAACCAGAGAAAGTCAAAGGGCAAAGCTGCAAAGCTGCGAAGCAACGCAGGAGAGTCGCTGAATAGGCATCCCGAGTTCCAGCTTCTCCACCTTGAGGCCACGAAAGAATATGCCTATGCTCAAGATCTTCGTAAGCGAAGGAGTTCCGTCCTCGCCTTTGCGAAGCTGCCGTGGCCATCCCTGCCGACCCAAACCACATCCTCTCAACGCCTTTGTCATGGCATGAAATCTGAGGCCATCGCCGACAAGTGAAAAGCGTCTTGCCCTGGTAGGTGCCACTGTGCTTGCCCAGCCCTTCCTGTACTCCAAGATCGTTTCCCATCGGCACCAACTGCAGACACTCAACAAAGGCCGCCCATGTCTTTGCTTTCATTTTGCAGGGACCGGGCGTCCGAGCTTACATCCTCAGATGCTCTTGTGGCATTCCAAATGCAAGGCCTCTAAACATGTCGGCCATAACATCAAGCATAAGCAGGATCGCAATCCTGTCATGTATTCTACGGATTTAGACTTAAACGGTATGTACATGGCCATCGAGCATGCTCAGGTACATCCTGCCAAGCTCATGCGCGTCATCGCATGTGCGCGCATGAAACAAGAGGGGAATCAAGCTGGAAGCAGTCTTGAGTGACACCTCCCTCCCTCCCTCCCCCCCCTTGACGGCCTATGCGCAGCATAGCGCAGCCTTAGCACGCAATCATCTGCTACCGCACGGTCCTGCTTGTACAGCCAAGCAGAGACCAAGGCCCAAGCACGATGCCTTGTAAAGCAAAGGCCAGCGGCAGCCTGATTTCGGATGAGACCCGGCATGACACAGTCTGAAGGAGGTGCAAGGCCGTCAAGCAACGCATCTTGCTGCATTCGAAGCAGGCTGCCCCGGGTCACGGTCCACATCGACAGGTCTTCAGTAGCCTTCACGTGCGGGACTCGCAACCCTACAGCGCCGAGATGCGCCGAGAGATCTAAGAGTTGCTGCACGTCTGCCATACTGCATCGGCAACGCTACAGGCTCAGGTTTCGGCAATAACTCGGTTTTTGCGAAACTCGCCGGTGAACCTGCTGGGTCAAACTGTCATGCCGAAATGCCAGGCGTCAACTCTTTGCCCGGTCAAAAAACGAAACACAGTGGGTCGAATGGTCGCCAAGATGCAGGTTTAGCTCGCCGGTAAACTGCCCTCGCACGCTGCACTCCACGAAATTCCGACCACTTTCTGTTCCAACTCGATCGCAGTAGTCATCCAGAACCTCTGTTCTGACAGCTCCGCCGCAAAGATGCACAATATGAGAGACGCATCCCATCATCTGAGCGGAGAACACCAACATGTCCACTGACCAGCAAGAACGCGAAATCCGAAGGGTCTCCAGGGTTCCATAGAACAGTCCCTTCTCCGGAACGCTGAAACCTCTAGCAAGCATCACATCCAGCACGCTGCCACAACTGCTTCTCCGTAATTCTCCGCAGATCTCCGTGCACGCAAAGAACTGAGCATCCGACTCGAAGAAGCTTCGAAGCGCTCTGCTTGTTTCAGGTTGTGGGAGGCCCAGGGGCTCCAAGAGGCAACTGCAGACTTCGTCAAAGAAGACTTTGTCCGCCTCACAGTCACAGAAGGACCACACGCACATCAAAGCGCTGTCGACCGCGGTAGGCGGCCTCAGACGCTTCGGCGGCCCATGGAGCAGCTCGGCGCGCCGAGCAAGTCCGCGGCAGGCTCGGAGGCGGAGCTGACACAGACAGGGTCAGAACCTCATTCGGAGCCCCCGAACCACGGACCGAAGGGCTCTCCTAAGGATCCTCTGGCGCTGAGGCTGGGCTAAGGTCGTTGCGATCTCCTCCACTCTTTGAACTGCCGAATCCATGTCCTCAAGCAGAAGCTGTGCAAAAATCGGAAGGTCGCATGATGCTCGGCAGCCAAAGGGACTGAAAAGAAGCTCGCAGCATGCAGTTGAGGGTATCTTTGCACCTTCAGCTGCAGTGCCACGATGTGGTACAAAGAGGTTCTGAGAGCAGCCCGGCAGCCCCTCGGCCCCGCCTTGTGCATCGCTGCGTGTTGCAGGCCGCTACAAAGCAGCTCCATGCCCTTGCTTTGCAAATTTGTGGCCAAGGCGTTCAGCTGACCTGAGATGCAAAGGCATTGGACTCCATCCACTTGATCATATTTCATCCGGGAAGCTGTATGCCGAGGAGTCAATAGAGACCACCTGCGCACAGTCCACAATCAAAGTGCGATTTCCTCTGAAAACCTATTCAATTCTGTATTCCCCCTAAGAAAACCTATTCACTTCTGTGTTTCCCCTAAAAATCTGCATTCCCGTCTAAAACCTATTCAACTCTGTATTTCCCCTAGTAAAATTTCTGAATTAAATATGTATTTTCTCAGAAAACCTATTCAATTCTGCATTTTCCTCTAAATCTAAAACCTATTCAATTCTGTATGTCCCCTCAGCGTCGCACAGCGCCGATCCTGCGCAAAGTCCAGAATCAAAGCCTTGCACTGGATGTCCTGCACCCTCTTCGGCAAGGAGTGGGTGTTACCGAAGAACAGCACGCCATGAAGTCGCAGCACCATGAAGCCACCCCTATTGTCAAAGTCTTCGAGGATCTGCAGTTCCAACTGACTTCTCAACTTTCGAGAGCGCACACCGCGGCCTGGATAAAAGGCGAAGCGAACGGGATCAGACCGTGCTGCTTGTACTGCGAAAGCGATGCAGGCACAAAGCAAGCCGATCAAGAGGCCGTAGATAAAACTGATGGTGCAAATACAGGCTATGGAGACGGCAATGATGTACTCCAGCACATCTAGAGTGGGCCAAGTGTCCACAAGGGCTTCCCAAACGAGCTCGACCCCAAGGTGACTTAGCAGCACTCCTGCAAGGACTCGGGGCAGGAACGAAATCACTGTGCTGGCCCAGGGTATTATCATCAGCACAACCAGTGACACGATGAAGCCTGTGATACGGGAGCCCCCGCCACACTTGAAGTACAGCAGGCTTGATGAGTAGACCATGTAATTCTGAAGCGTGCCAAGGCATGCAGCAATCAAATTTGCGATGCCATGTGCGGCCAGTTCACGGTTGACATCCACCTCCCGCCCAGTGGCTTGAGCGAGGGCCGGCACATTTACGGGAACATGCAGGCAGCTGAAAATTACGATTCCCATGAGCAGAGGTAGTTGATATGGGAATACGTCCCAGGCAATTAGGTCCACTCTCAGCATTTGAAAATGGTAAGTCGTCAGCATTGGAAAATCGTTGAAAATCCAACCATCCTCCTGCGCCAGTTCACGCGAGTAGCCAGCCATGGACAAGGCCATCCAACTGGCAGGAACTAAGCCTAAGAAGAAGAGGGGAAGCACAAAGGATTCCCAGTCCCGGCCCCGGGCGAGCCGAAGACAGTTCAAGAGGAAAAGCTCCAGCACCAGCAAGACCAGGATTTTGGGCCACTGCATTGCTTGATCCAGAAACACGGCTTTGCTCCATGCCCAGCTTATGCCAGTGCTGGCTTCCACACCTGCTGCCATGATGTAAATGCCCATTCCACCAATGCAGCCCATCAAGACAGGCTTGGGCAAAATCATGAAAACTCGCTCTAGCTCAAAATAGCCTAACAGAAGGAAGGCAATAGCTGTCGCGAGAGAAGCAGTCGCATATAAGGCAAGCGTGGTGGGCAAAATCATGTCAGGTCTTTCTGCCAAAGACGTGGTCACCGACAGGGCCATTGAGTGCAACATCGGTATGTTTTCCACGATCATACATCCAAGGCCCTCGGGCAGGTTCGACGAACAGGAGAAGACTGCTTGGGCAACGGCAGCAGACAGCAGGACCATTGAAACCCCCACGCCATGGAGTTCGTGTGCCATAGGAAAGACCAGGAAACCGTATGGGAAATTATCCAGCACCGTAATGAGGACTGCGATCCCTGCTGCCAAGACTTGCTGAATGCAGGACATTGACATCTTCAGTGCCGACCTGGAGCTTCGACTCGCCTCACAGCTCTGAAGATCCTAAAAAAAGCTCACTCCGGATTTCAAGGGAAAACACAACCGACCTTGCATCACCGTCAGTTGCTATTCTCCTTGCAGTAGGTCAGAACACTCTGGCGCAAATCTGCTCTACAAGTAGCACGTGCCTACATTCCATTTCGGCCAGCAGCTCAAGGCACTAAACGGATTCCAAGCTTCTGGGCTTCCTAGCTCAAGAAGGGGATCCGCGACGCCAGAATCCATGGCAATCATGAACAACATAAGTAACACAACACCTTTTTTCGCAAACACATCATGAACCGGTGAAGCGGCTGAAACTGCTGAGCATCTGAAAGGAACTGTGGTGCTTCCCTGGGTTTTGCTCACGATCAACACGCTGAGGTGACCGCGAAGGCATACAATGACATGCTGGCAACGCACAAGTCAGTTGCAATACGCCAAAGAGCACTCTCTGAGCATGCAGAAGATGCCTCGTCGTATTCAACCCCCACCACTTCCACAGACTCCTTTTGCGCACATCATTCTTAAGTTTTAAACCGTTTGATACAGTGCGACTTCGCGTACTAAGATATTTGCGGGCTTGTTCGTCTGGTCAGTGTAGCCAGCCTCTGCAACAGATTCAAGAATGCGTGAGAACCCGCGGCGGTATTCTGAGCTCGATTTCATCTTGGCCTCCCCAGGCTTTGCAGGCGCCTCGTAAACACACAGCTCTGTCCCCGTGATTTGATGGCAGAGTCGCGTAGATCGAGATCAGAAGATCAGGGATGCGCTTGAAGCACTCCAGGCCTTGAAGCTGCCGAAAGATGCAAATCGTATGAGCTGACAGCAAGCTTCCAAGGATCCACGCCCCCATCGGATGGTGACCAGGTTGGTGCCTATGCGGGCACGCAGTCCGACCTGGGCACGGTTGAAGCCCTTCGCTGCACAGCATCGATGACATGCCGAGGCCCGGACCCATGAGGGAGAACCTCACATACAAACAAGATACAATGTATCGACACCACACAATGCATCGACGTGTGCTCACATCATACATCGTGTCAAGGATACTGTAAGCCTTTCCACCAAGTGATTGCTGCTGCAAGGCATGCCAAGTGCTGCAAAGGCTGCTGTCGTCCGATGCTGCAGCCATTTCAAGCCCAGGTGGAGTCTCTTGAAGCTCTCAGATGACGGATTCTGTTTAACTTGTCTGGGTTCACTTGGCGTCTCACTTCTCTTCAGCTTGATCCAACTGCCCTGGAAGCCTTTTTTTGTATTGCTTGCCGATGATTCGACCATTTCGAACAGAAAGGGAACGAAAGCCTGGTAACTAGTACAAGCTTCCTGCTGAAGGGCGCACCTGTGAGTTTAACATCGCAACTCGCAACGTTTCGATGAAACCGCGGTGTCTGGAACTTCTGTCCACCGACCAAGGACCTAGGGATGGCCTAGGACACTGGGGCAGCACCACAGCTTCACCGACCATCAACGACCACTCCAGCAATTCTGATCTCGATGCGCAGTGGTGACAAAAAACGAGTGGGAGCTGCCACAGTGATGCTGATGCGCTCCCTGCGTTCAACGTCCAACGAGAGTTCGACTTGCAGCGAGGCAGTCCCTCTTTGAGGGCACGCTGCTTGGAGACACTAACGAAGGCATGCTTGCATAGCACGAAGAACAACTGGCTGGTGCGCAGTTTGTGCAACTGGGCTACGTTTTCTCCTTAGCCCTTTCGCGACTGCGAATCCACTCGTCGATCTGGCTACGTCTCGCATCAGGCGCTGGCAAACCCAGAGAGCTCATGAACCGCACGCTGCGGATCTTACCTTACAGTACACAGCATGATGGAAAGCCGTCTGCAGCACACATCCGTCGAATCGGAACGCGAAGCCCCAACCGTAAGTCATGCACCGTGGTCTGGGCGCTGTTCAGGGTCCAGCTTCGTCAGTAGCAGCACAAAATCCGAAGCAGCCTCCGACGGTGCACTTTGCACGTTGTACCTCACCAGAAGGCTGCTCTCAAGGCCGGCCCTGTGCGACACATACAAACAGCCAGCACAAGCCGGATCCTGGCCTGGAGGGGTGCTTAACCTGAACTGGAACGTCACAGAGAGCTCGAGCTAACAAGTTGCAGCACATGTCTGGAGCCTAGTGTCCTGAACTCAAGTCTCAAGTCTCTGCAAGGAGCATGCTTCTCCAATAAGCGGTGATTGTTGGCCAGGTTGGCGAAGTTGTGGGATGAAAACGCATAGCATGGGGCTGACCAATCCCCGCCAGAATCCCGAACGCCACCGGTGAGAACATTCCAACAAACGACTCCAAAGGAATAGATGTCGGCCTTGAAGTCCTAAGCTTTGCATCGTGAAGCCCCGCCTACGAGCGAAAAGTCAATCGTGCATCGTTCGGTTGTGAAGTTGTGCCTAGAGGTGCTCTTTGTGTTGAAGCTGCATGTCTCCAGAGGGTGCCGCATGACATGCAGATGTTTTTCGAGTACCTGCACTTTACTGCACTTCCCAGCAAGTCGTGATTGCCCAACGTTCCAAGACGGTCAGGAACCGCTGGCTCCTTGTAAGTAGTTAGTCAAGCATCGTAGGGCTTTTGGAGCACCACTTCGGGCGCGACGTAAGCAGGACTTCCTGGAGGACAGTTCTGCAGCGTGAAGGCGCCGGTAGAGACCAAGCCTCGTCAAAAAGCGACGGTTCCCCATGCAAAGTCACCTACCTCACCTCGACAACTGTGAACATGTACCATCCGTATGGACCGGCCCCTCCAAGCAAACAATTAGCCCAAGTTCGCCCCGTGATTGTCTTAAGCCCTCCACACCCAAACCCTAAACCGCAAAGCCTGAACCCCACGCGTGTGTTCAATGCGAAGAACAGCCTAGGCTGCACGAAATTCAGGCTTAGGGGTTAGCCCCTGCTGACAAAGTCGCAACACAGGGAGATTCGTCCGTACTGGAGAACTCTGACTTGCAAGCCCCAGGGAATCGCACACGCCTACAACGAATACAGGTTTACGCTTTCTCAACTCGAACGAATAGAAATTTAGGGGTTAAGGCTTAGGGTGCGGGATGCATTCAGGTGATCATGGTAGGAGTCCTGCATTGGATGGAGGAAACCTTGCACCACGTGAGACCCTAAACTACTGTAGCACGTAGGGTATGAGACATGTAAGATGTTGCAAGATTGTTCCATCCACAGCAGCTACATGAGCCATCCTTTAACTCCTTTCACAGAGCATGGGGGTGTTAGTGATGTGAAAACACCAAGATTGGGGACCATACTTTGGGTTACACGTCACTCTGACGTCACTTCTTAACCCTAAGCTCCAAAGCCTGCAGCCAGCCTAAACCTTAAACCACTCTTAAACCCAAATCCGAATCAGATCCCAGAGATTATTCTTCACATTATACTTGTGGTATCTTGTAGTACAACATGCCTAAAAGCCTTTCCAATCTTTTCATTCTTTTACACCATTGTGATCTTTTACGCCCTCATTCTATTTGTTCCTGTTCCATGTAAATAAAGTTGAAACCCTGCATGCTGGACCCTACACCGTCCCATGAAACCCTTCGCCGAAATCCGACCTGGCCGGCTTGGCGAGTGCGGGGGGGACGCGCTCTCAGGTCTGGTACACCCAACTAGGTGCTTTGGCTGCTGTTGGTACACAGAGAAGTTGAACTGGCGGTAACAGGACAGTAGCCGAGCGCGGCGCTTAAACTTGCACTCAGCTGTGACGCGGAGCCGTACCAATGCAAAAGCTGCCTGTTGGAACCAGAATATCTAGAAACGTTGGCCGGCGGTTCTTCTGAACCTGAGTTCATGGTGTCCCCATGCGCGACTTGTAGCGAAACAAGTCTGGCCGGCGGTCCTAGGACAGGCGTCCTATTGAGAGACAAAGATGGGCTGTTTTTGGTGGTTGTGGCTTCGTGTTTTGTTTTGTAAAGGAAAGGCAGACGCAAAATTGAGGATTGCCGTCCCAAGACCGAAGAACTCGATCGCACTGGTTGTGTCGCAGCCGGTTGCACATTCCGATGCATGCTGCTCCAAAAGCTAAGGCGATCCAGGTCCTAGCGGTTGCGGACGCGCTCGCCGCAAGCCAAGAAAGCCAGCAAAACGACGCAGAGAAAGCTTTCGGCTGTCCCAGAGTATCCCGTCCAGAAGAAGGAAACAAGGCACCAGGCCGTCTCGAAAGCTTCATTCACGGCCAGTTTAGGAATGTCGGGTCGCCATCCGCTAGTTCCCGAAAGCATCGCGAAGGGCTCTTCCGTGCGAAGCCCTTGAGAGAAGTACATAGAGTGAAGTACATCGAGTGAAATGCATAGTGCATAGAGTGAAGTGCATAGTACATAGAGTGAAGTACATCGAGTCAAGTGCATGGTACACAGATGACTCTGTGATTCAATGACTCTATCTCATTCTGACTCTATGACTCTATGATTCGATAACTCTATGACTCTATGACACCATGACTCTATGACTCTACTCTATGACACTCTGACTCTGTGACTCTATGACCATGTGCTTTTGACTCTATCCGACTTATCTACATCTCGGTATATAATCTCTCTTTTTAAAGCCAGGGTGGCACCGTCGTCATCGATCGGGAATACAACCCTTCACAGGGATTGGCCCGTCGAGTGTCCAAACGTGTGGGAAGGTTACAATTCTTAGGCGGCATTCGCAACCCTTCACAGGGATTGGCGTGGTCGAGTGCCCAAACGTGTGGGAAAGTTACAACTTGCCTGGTCCACTCGTAACCCTTCACAGGGATTGGCGTGGTCGAGTGCCCAAACGTGTGGGAAAAATACATCGGAAAAATACAACTTGCCTGGTCCACTCGTAACCCTTCACAGGGATTGGCGTGGTCGAGTGCCCAAACATGTGGGAAAGTTACTACTTTTCGTCGCTCTTAGGCGCCATTCGCAACCCGTCACACGGATTGGCGTGGTCGAGTGCCCAAACGTGTGGGAAAGTTACTACTTTTCGGCGCTCTTAGGCGCCATTCGCAACCCTTCACAGGGATTGGCGTGGTCGAGTGCCCAAACGCGTGGGAAAGTTACTACTTTTCGGCGCTCTTAGGCGCCATTCGCAACCCTTCACAGGGATTGGCGTGGTCGAGTGCCCAAAACGTGTGGGAAAGTTACAACTTGCTTGGTCCACTCGTAACCCTTCACAGGGATTGGCGTGGTCGAGTGCCCAAACATGTGGGAAAGTCACAGGGATTAGGCGCCATTCGCAACCCTTCACAGGGATTGGCGTGGTCGAGTGCCCAAACGTGTGGGAAAGTTACTACTTTTCGGCGCTCTTAGGCGCCATTCGCAACCCTTCACAGGGATTGGCGTGGTCGAGTGCCCAAACGCGTGGGAAAGTTACTACTTTTCGGCGCTCTTAGGCGCCATTCGCAACCCTTCACAGGGATTGGCGTGGTCGAGTGCCCAAAACGTGTGGGAAAGTTACAACTTGCTTGGTCCACTCGTAACCCTTCACAGGGATTGGCGTGGTCGAGTGCCCAAACATGTGGGAAAGTCACAGGGATTAGGCGCCATTCGCAACCCTTCACAGGGATTGGCGTGGTCGAGTGCCCAAACGTGTGGGAAAGTTACTACTTTTCGGCGCTCTTAGGCGCCATTCGCAACCCTTCACAGGGATTGGCGTGGTCGAGTGCCCAAAACGTGTGGGAAACTTACTACTTTTGCGGTGCTTTGCGGTGCTCGGGAGAGAAGTACATAGAGTGAAGTATAGAGTCAAGTGCATAGTACATGGAGTGAGTGAAGTACATCGAGTTACGTGCATAGTACATAGAGTGAAGTACATAGAGTCAAGTGCATAGTACATAGAGTGAAGTGACGCTATGATTCTATGTACCCGTGTACCTGACTTATGTACTTGACTCTATGGACTGGACTGGACTAGACTAATATGACTCTATGTACATGTATACTTGACTCATCTTGACTCTGTGACTCTTTAGGGTTTACGCTCTCGCAACTCGGACAAGCCTGCCGAGGTCTCTGGTGCTTTTTGCTTTGATGGTCGGTACGTACTACCACTCTTTAGGGTTTAGGGTTGAGGGCTGAGGGCTTAAGGCTTAGGGTTGAGGGTTTATTGCTTAAGGGTTTAGGGCTTAAGGTTTAGGGTTTATAGGCATTGGGAAAGTTACTACTTCTGCGGTGCTTTGTGGTGCTCGGGAGAGAAGTACATAGAGTGAAGTGCATCGAGTTACGTGCATAGTACATAGAGTGAATGCAGTACCTCGAGCTGCGTGCATAGTTCATAGAGTGAAGTACATAGAGTCAACTGCATCGTCCACAGAGTGAAGATGTGCTTGACTCTAGGACTCTCTGTACCTATGTACCTGACTTATGTACTTGACTCTATGCACTGGACTGGACTAGACGAATATGACTCTACGTACATGTATACTTGACTCTATGACTCTTTAGGGTTTAGGGTTTCGGGTTGAGGGTTTAAGGCTTAGGGTTTAAGGTTTATTGCTTAAGGGCTTAGGCCTTAAGGTTTAGGGTTTATACGCATTGGTTCACCAATAGTAAACCAATACATCTCGAGATTTTCCCTTTTTTCAATCGTCCAATAAACTCTTGAGGTTTGGGGACCCTTGAACGGGAAACTTGACGTTAGCCCAAAAGAGACACCTCCAGTACTAAAGTTTGTATAAAAGATTCGATTCTGGATCCAATTTGGGGGACTCTATGCATCTATGCACTGGACTATACGACTCTATGTACTTGACTCTATGCACTGGGCTATGCACTTGATTCTATGCACTTCACTGTATGCAGTTGACTTCATGTACGTGAGTTTATGCACTGATTCGAGAGCTCTGACAACATCGAGTGAAGTACATAGAGTGAAGTACATAAAGTCAAGTACGTCGATCTCGGTTTACTATGTACTTGATATCTATATGCACTTCACTCTATGACTCTGTGGCTCTATGGACTGGGTTCTATGACTTTATCTATTTGACTCTATCACTTTACGTAGCGCAAAACTCTTGGCAAATGATGCTTTCGGGCCAGTTTTTCGATGCTGAGCACCCTCCGGCACTACTCCGTGCGCAACTGGTGGAAACCCTACCGCCTACCTCCAGCATCTGCAGAATGTGCCGTTGCTACGAGGCCCAGGAGTTGGGATTGCAGTCGAGGCCTGATGGGACTTTTTTGCCTCTACCCGTGGCCCCCTGGAGCCCGATTAACACGAACTACACATCCTGCGGAGAACCGTGGAGGCAACAACGACAACAACAACAACAACAACGACAACGGAGACAGCAATGTCCGCGACCACGGTCAAGGCAACAACTGCGACCACAACCACAACCGCAACCACGACCACAAGCACGACCATGACCACGGCCACGGCACGAGCCACAACCACGACAACAACCACTTGCAACCACGACCACGGCTACGGCAACAACCACGAGCACAAACACGACAACAGCGACCACGACCACGACCACGCACGACCACGGCCAGGGCGACATTCACGACCACGACTCACAACCACGGCAACAATCACGACAACAACTACGACCATGATCACGACCACGACGAACAACCACGACCACTGCAACAACCACGACCACGACCACTGCCGCTGCAAAAAACACGACCACGACAACGGCCGCAGCAACAACCACGACCTCGACCAGAGCAAAAACTGCAGCAAGAGCAGCAGGTCAAGCAGCAGTCGAAATGCCTATTCGCCCCATGCCGAAGTCGGTCAGCTTCGCCCGGCCATCGTCAGAAAAAACCACATTGCGAGGCTTGAGGTCTCGCTGCAGGGTGCCCAGCACCATGTGCAAATGCTCCTAGGCAGTACAGGTACAAGGTGTGCGCCAAACAGCACGCACGGCTTTGCTGGCCACTTTGCCTTCCAAGTCACCAAGCCAAGAAATATTTGGCCCAACCATGTGATTGCTTGTTCTGGAAGTCGATAACCGTGATCAGCGTGAGCCTGGTTCACCTTGTCCTGCAAGTCTCCTCCGGCACAAAACTCCATCACCAACGAAGAGAAGCATGAGCCAGTCTCGATGTAGTGGTTCCCAAAGATTTGTACAATGCACGGATGTGGATTCATCAAAACATGGTTCGTGACTTCACGCTCTCGCGCGATAGTCGGCTGCCGCGAGGTGTTGCTCCGCTTCACGGCATACCACTGCCGGGATCTTAAGTCCATTGCTCGCCAAACGGTACCAAACATACCCTTGCCGAGTACAGCTTCGCGAGGCACAAAGTCTCGACGAACCATGGGTGGAGAGTTCAGCCAATCTGCAACTGCATCTCCGCGAGAATCGATTGGCACGAGGTGGTCCATTCCTTCTTGAAGCTTGTTCGGATAAAGGACTGTTCCCACAGAGCCGGAAAAACCCTACCCACGAAGCACACTCTCATTGCTTAGGCTCCTTAATTTACGCTACCAATCCATCTCCCCCACGTAAAGACTGTAGGGGGCACGCCTCGACAAAGACGATGTGACGAAGGACGCAGGTTTCCCGGTGCTGCATGCTGTTGTCGGTTGGACGACATCAGCTACAAGGAGCTGCATGCAAATCATTTTGAGTCCCCCGTGAGTGGGAACTGATCACCATGTCGTTTCGATTCGAGGAGCCCATGCTGGGATTAAAGGACAACGACGTGAACGGCATATGAAGAGCAAACGTAGAAGATTGCGAAGGCCTCAGATCAGTCCGAGAGTCCTGGGTAGCGTTCCCCTTGCTTCAAGAACTCCTTGATCATGTAGTTGTTCCTCAACACCAGCTGTTGCTGGCATTGGAAAACATGCACAGATATGCACAGCATGGTACAAGTAACAGCTGACAAGACATGCAGATCCGACTCAGGCAGCCTCTGCAATGTGAGCAGCTTCGTGGGCGATGCTTATGATGCTTTACGAACAACCCAACAAATTCGATGGAAGGCGGTTAGTTGACTTGACTGTACCGGACAGAGATGCGTATAGACTATGGCATATGCAGTACATGAACCACTTGCGCGCTATGCACTACAGAAGTGTGCCAAGTTGCATCGATGGAAGCTTTTGTCCACCGGCTTTCTGTGCACACAGGGAGAAAGTCCCACACAGCCACTCCTCCGTGAGTGCCGCCACATTAGCGGAGTTGTGCGTGCACCTGCTGCGTTGACAAACAGCGACTGTGGGTTCAGCACCAACAACACCAAAAAAAGCAGGTACGAGCAGCTCTGGCAGCACATGTCACGGCAGCATACGGCAGCACTTTCACCAAGAAACTCTGCAATGAAGTCTTGGATGCTTCGTGAAAGCGGTGCAAAGCGCTGCATGACCTCACGATCACTTTCATCGTCGGAAAGCATGCTCACCTCGGACCACAGACTATGGGATTTTTCCCTCCTGCTTAGCACAGACTATAGGTTGATCATCGGGGTAGGAGAATAGCATACAAAGCGTTGGGGCTTAGCAGATGCCATTGAGTGAACAATGTGTTGCAAAGACAGGACTTTACCACTGGAACCACTGATCGAGCTGTATGATGATGGCACACGAAATCTCAAAGGAAGACGTGCATCAGCGATCCAGGATCTTCTGTATGCCAAGTCACTTGATTGCAGAGCGAGACAAGAAAGCTTTGCATTGTGCTGGTGACTTTCTCAGTCGGCAGATGCAAAGCTTTTGGAACTGCTCGCTGTAATATCTCTATGCCGTCTTCTCCTTGTAGAAGTTGGGCCAATGCTTGTGCAAACTTCGCCAATGAATGACGTCGCGGATACGCAAGAACACTTTGCAAGTTCGGTAAATCATTCACCGAGCAGTTGAAACTGCAACGGACTGTGATCATGCCACAACCATTGGCGAGTGAAATCGTATGCTCTCTTGACGTGCCCGCCAGTTCCGTCGTGCTGATCGGCAAGCGTGCGACACTCACTAAGGCATCCTGACAAATACGACGCACTCGGTAAACTTTAATTGTCCTTGGTCGGCCAAGTGTTCCAGCAAACTTTATGGAAACACTCACTTAAATGCGGGGCCCATATCCACTCCCAAACTTTTGATCGGAGGGTTTTTGTGTTACATGTCGCCGAGCATCATCTCGGGAATTCGCCTGTCCAGCAACGTGGACGCCAAGGACATGGACGCCAAGGAGCTGGCCCGAGGACCCAAACCAGGATCATAGGTGACAATGTCTTCAAGAGTGAAGGGAATAGGAGCGTGGGTGAAGTGCACATCGCCATGGCTCGGAACATGCACAATCTCCGTCTGGCCCTGCCCCCTGCCGACTGAAACTGTCACATACAATCGCCAGGTGTGCGGATGACCGAGTAACCATCTGCACACCTTGAGA